AAAAAAAAAAAAAAAGAAAAGAAATAAAAAGTAAACACACAAAATCCAGAAATGATTATCAAACAGGTTTAATGAAGGTGGATAATTTCACTGAAAACCAATAGTTGCTTCTCTTTCATCATGGAAGTATGGGTTAATCCTAATTAATCAACCTGCTAATTATTTGTCTCTTCCAATCACTCTAGACCTGTGACATATATGATCTGTTGCTCCTGTCCTCCATGGCAGTGGGCATACAGAAGTGATGAATGGAGGCCACCGTTTCCTGTCATGGAGTTAACTAAACCTAGTTTAGTGCCATCTTGAACGCCCCAGGCTCTGACACTTGAAATTCTAATTAGTGCAGAAAAGGGCTAAGTTAAAACAGCTTGTATTCCCTCAAGGATACCTACTCTTAGGGCGCTACAACCTAATGAGGTCTGTGAAATTTAAGATCTAGAAAAGAAATCCCTGCCTAGAGTGACAGCTGTACCAGGGCTGACAAGAGAATTTGGGGTTAAATTAGTCCCCTTAGATAGGAAGAGTACCCCCAAATGGTATGGGAAGAAAAACCCATATGAGTCTGGTCTAATTAGTTGTTATGTGACCTAGAATGGACCTTCACTGACCCTCAGCTCTGAGCTGTGGAGTTATCAAAGCAGGCAAGAGCTCATTCATTACCCACAATGTGTAGTAGAGTAGGTGGGCAGTGGGAATCTTGGATGGGCACTTCTCTTTGCTCCAGTAGGAAAGGCAGTCAAGCTGGAGGCAAGGGAAGAGACCCAGTGACTTCTAAAAGAGCCCCACAAAGGAATAGAAGGGGGATTCCTTTGCTGCTATTTTGCAGTATGAGCAGGCTGAATGTTTGCTGAACTCATTTGGAAAAGGAAGAGAGGAGATAATGGTCCTAATGAATGTGCAGGAGACAATAGCAGCTCCAGTGGGAGGATTATAAGCTCATTATGGTTTAATACAATGATTGATCATCTCTGTCCGCCAGCATTATCCTAGAATAGCGATGAAGGTCGGAGAGACCCATGCCTGTCAGAGCACAAGCTCCAGTCACCAGAATATAGAAGGTATGCTTGTATGTTACTTGGTTTCCATTGTAAATTCACATATGTGGCCCCAATCTCCTTTTTCCACAAACTGTTCTCCATGACCCTAGCCTGCCCCACTTCTCTGTGATTTCTCAGCCCTCATTATTCCTCTGTGCACCATTCCATCAGCTCTGACTCCTGACCTTTTTCCTAGTGACCCCGCCCCAATCCCACCCCTTGAGAAAATGACCACAGCTTCCACTATGGCATAGGTTTAGGTAGGCTCCAAGGGCCCTTTTCAGTGGGCACCGGCAGGCACCCGGTTTAGAAGGAAGGCTCGGGACACCTCCCGATAGGCATTTCGAAGCAGGACATAAGGGAAACAGGACTCCAGCATGTCCAGGGTCAGGAAAGACGATTCCTCCACCACCTGGAAGAGATGGGGCCAAGAAGTGAGCATCTTCCATAGGGCATGTGTCTGAGATGCCCTGTTCCTCTTCGTGTAGTTAGTTCCTGGGCCCTCTAAGGCCCTGGGAGTCACAAATGAACAGTGTTCCAAATCACACTGCCCCCTACTTCCTACCTCATTTGGCTCCAGGAAGGTAAAGGGGCCTCTTCAGCTCCATTGCAGTGGCCCCTGTCCCCTTCATGTGAAAGGCACAGAAACAGAAGGCAGGAAAGAACCACTTCCCTAGCAGCAGAAAAACTCCCATTCTGGATGCTAAATCATATGTGGGCGGGGAGCACAGATGCAGGTAAAGACAACTAAAAGCGCTAATTGCAAAGCTTTGCAGTGAGAGAAACGATTGCCACCGCAGGCCAAGGAAGAGGAGCCTGGAATCTGCAAGGATCCTCCGCTGCTGGGCCTCAGTCTCCTCCCTCTCGCAGTACAGTGCTGGGGGAACAGTAAGGATGCTGCATAAAGGAGCAGGCATGATTAATTAGTTTAATTATAAGCCTGAGTGCTGCGGTAATCCCAGCAGCCCCCACAACCAATCAGGAAGATGGATCAAGAAGCCTGGATAGGGGGCTGGGGGACAGAAGGGCATATCCATGAAGAACAGCAGAAAGCAGAACACTGTGCTGGGCTGGAAGGTCCCTGCCCCTGAGGAAGAAACAGAGTCTATTTCCTTCAGACCCCTCCTTGTCCCTAACTGAAAAATCCTCTGGAGAAAAGTGTCCCCATAGCCTCTGACAATTCACACAGATGGGCCCTCCCCAATATGTCCGTTTTTTTGGGGTCCTGAAAATTCAGGAAGGAAACATAAGTCTCCCACATCTACTCTAACATGTTTCTCTCTTGCTCTCTCTGAGGCTCTTTCAAGTGTTAACAATTTGTAAGATTTTGCTATTCCCAAACACACAGGCACACGACAGGGCAACAGTGTCAAAACTTCAGGCAAAAGGAAAGGAAATCTGCTGGTAAAACTGTAGCCCTGGCCTTAGATTAGATAACCGAAAAAATTTCAAACTAGGCGAGACTTTCAAACCCTAAACCTGGAGAGAGATGAGACTTCTCTCGGATGCTAACCTCACATACAGGGAAATGAGTAATGACCAAGTAAATCCGCTGGCCCACATCTTTCTATTCTCCAGGAATCACAGATAAAAACAGGACTCCTGGCTCAGCACCTATAGCTCAACCGGCTAAGGCGCCAGCCATGTACACCTAAGGTGGCGGGTTCGAATCCCCAGCCCGGACCTGCCAAACAACAATGACGGCTGCAACGAAAAAATAGCCGGGCGTTGTGGCGGGCACCTGTAGTCCCAGCTACTTGGGAGGCGGAGGCAGGAGACTCGCTTGAGCCCAGTAGTTGGAGGTTGCTGTGAGCTGTAATGCCACGGCACTCTACCCAGGGGGACAGCTTGAGGCTCTGTCTCAAAAAAAAAAAAAAAAAAAAACAGGACTCCTATAAACTGGCTGATGTTTTTGGAAGTGGAAACAGCCATATAGTGAAAGCCAAGAAACCTGGGTTCTAGTCCCAAATGTGCCATATAATTTAGGGGAGACTTTGTCATTTTTCCCTCCCTCTTTCTTGGTTTCCTCACTATGACTTATAAAAACTGGACTAAATTGCTAGGTTCTGCTCTGGTTCTGACACCTAGGACTCCATGATTCTGTGAGAAAGCTACTTCCTACCCCCAGGAAACCCATGCCAGGAACAGGCTGCCTGCCAACATGGGGGCGGGCACTGCCCAAGCTTGACAGCCAAGACAGAAAGACCCTGGGGAGAGAAGTGCTGGCCAGAATTTGAGGCTACAAGAGTAACCTCTTAACTCAGAATACATCTCCTTCCCCTCAAGTCATTTCCAATTTCTCTGTGGAAACATTTGCATTTAAATTGCTTTGCAGCAGCTAGTCCCTCTAGTTTCCCTCCAACACAAAGCGCCTGGCTGGCTCTGCTCCTGCCACTCTGCCAGTCTCACTGGGACACCATAAGGGGCAGGCATTTTTCTACACTTGGGAGTGGGGGGGCGTGGAGGTGTGGGGTATCAAAGCAGAAGAGGTTAGTGGAACTGGGTGGCAATACAGAATCACCTCCGACCTTCTGGAGGTGAAAACTACCCGAGGAAGTGAAGAGGCCCAAATCATCCAGAAACTACAGTGACCAGCAGAAAGAGGCAGCAGGCTTTTGTTGAGCATCTATTATGTCCTAGGCATCTTCACACATATTATTACGGGGGTTTTGTTTTGTTTTTGAGGCAAAGTCTCACTTTGTTGCCCTGGGTAGAGTGCCATGGTAGAGTGCCTCATAGCTCACAGCAACCTCAAACTCCTGGGCTCAAGTGACCCTCTTGCCTCAGCCTCCTGAATAGCTGGGACTATAGGCACCCGCCACAATGCCTGGCTATTTTTAGAGACAGGGTTTCACTCTGGCTCAGGCCAGTCTTCAACTCCTGAGGTCAAGCAATCTAGCCACCTTCGCCTCCCAGAGTGCTTGGATTACAGGCATGACTCACGCAGCCCAGGCAGACTTTCACACATATTATATCTCACGAACTCAAACCACTCCACCATAAGGATTATTACCCACATTGACGGATAAAGAATCTGAGTCCCAGAAGGTAACTGCCTTGCTAAACTCATGCAGCTCCCACCTAACCCACGACTAACGTTTGCCCTTCGTCTATTCTGGTCTGCCTCCTCCTCCCACTCACCCCTCAATACCACACACCCATGTCCATTCTCTTCTCCATCATAATCTTAGAGCAGCCCAGGGTAGGCCTTTTGCTAGCTGGAGAAACTGAAACATAAATACCACTCAGTACCCATGTACTTAAAGGAGACTAGGAGGGAGTCCCAGGAATGCCTGCCCCTAACATTTCTGGGCCTGGGTCAAGAATACAAATGGAGGCCCACCGAACATATGACAAATTAAATCAAACTTACAACTACAGAGAGTGCCCAAAACATGTATACACATTTTAAGAAAGGAATAAACTGTATTAAAATTATAAAACTGTATAGTTTTAAAAAGATGAATCCAAATCACGTGTAAGGACCTCTTATAATTGTAGAAGTCAAATATGACTAAAGTCTTAAAATTTTAGTACTGCAGCCATATGGTCCTCAGGCAACTAGAGGTACATCCCAGCAGTACTGTCTACCTTAGTAGGATGGACTTGGGGAAGAAGTTCCACACAGACCCAAAAGTGGGCTGGAGCTGCTTAGAATTCTGGGGTACCAGCTATCTGTGGACTTTCAGGTGGGACACAGGCTCCAGGTGGCCATATCATCTCCCCATAGGCAGAGGAAGGCCAAAGGAGAGTCTTTAAACAGGGGTCCAGGGCAGGTGCCCTACTGTCCATATTTAAGTACAGTACTACCCTGGAGAATAAGACTTTTAGAGGAAAAGAGTAAGTGTGTTAAAAAGGGAAACAGGGTCATGAGAAAAAAAGAATTAAATCAACTGAGTCAGAGTTCCCAGAACTTTCTGCCAGAGTAGAGGAAAGCCCACAGCTTGGGAAGCAAGGAGAAAACATAGCAGCAGCTGACTGATTCATGGGCTTCCGGCCTTATAACTTCTCAGCAAAAATCCCTTCTCTCCTCTGGGCCCTGCCTGACCCCTCAACCCCGAGTTTAGGTCTGCACTATTCAACACCCTCATCATAGTACGCTTGAAGACAAGGCATAAAGTGTGGGAAGTTGTCAAGTGAAACTAACCAAACAGGTGCTGAATAGGTATTTATAGATAAGGGACACATCTGTCCCACCAGGTCAGACTCAGGAACATTGCAGAAAAAGGGGTCCTTCCAGCAAGGGGCCAGGAGGGCCCTGTCCTGTAGTCAAGTCCTCAAAACCTCTACTCTGGCACTGCAGGACAAGTTTAGGATGTTAACCAGAATCTGAGGACCAGATCCAGAGGGTCAGGCAGAGTTACGTTCTTAGATGATGCTTTTGGGTAATGACAATGGCACAGACTCAAAGACCCTACAAGGGAGTTTCCCTCTGGCCCTTCCTCTCTTTTCCCAGACCAACTTAAACCAGATACATACCAAGCGCATAAGCAGAGAAATGGATTCCCGATTTCTGGTTTTAAGCTTGTCAGTCTCCTGGCCCAGCTGCAAAAGGCTGACAGAGGCCACCTGTAAGGAGAGAATTTGTACAGCACATTTTTATGGAGGTCAGGACAGGACAGCCTCAGGCCAGGGGAAGTCAAGAAAAGATCAAGGAGGAGAGTTAAGAAGTGCCAGGATGTTCCTGAAGACTAGGGGGGCAGGGGGGAAGGAGGGAGGAGGCAGCCAATCCCCCAGCTTTCAGAGACGCACACTGCCTGCAAACCAGCCTGGATCCCTTGGCCTGCCAAAGCAGATAAGGGGAGGTTGCCCGGGGGTGCTGGGAGGAGGCTGCAAGGAGCAAGGAAAGAACCTAGAACAAAGGCAGGTGAGGCTGTATGCTGAGAGATTAATCTCTCTTTTCTAGGCAGCCTCCAGACGCCACTGTCATCAGCCTGTTTACAGCTGACTCCCCACCCCACCAGACACAGAGCTGGGCCTCTAGTTCAGATACAGGGCTTTTGGTATTCTCCTCCTGTCGACTCCCAAATGCCTGTGATCTCCATTCACCTCCAGGCCCACAACAGATCAAAAAGGGAGGAAAAAATAAGATTCACTGTATCCCAGGCCAAGGTTACCTGAATTTCACAAATAAGGAGGATAAAAGGGCAAAGGGGGTAAAATTCCCATCTCACCCCATCCTAGAGATCTGGTATGAATCCTCTTTATAGCTAAGATGCTCAGAGCCAGGTATATCTGGTTGCTTTTCCCAGCTTACACAAACACCCTCTCCCTAAGCTTACGTACTTCTCAGGACAAGGGTATAATTCTTGAGAGAACAGTATGATCTGCTTTGTTTCCTCCTGGAAAGAGACAGATGAGGCCCCAATTCTTAAATCTGGAGCTTGCTTTGCAAAGAAATAAGTTCCCTATTACTGAGAATGCTCAAGCAGGCAGTGGGTAATGGACCAGGTATCAGAAGTTTATGAACAGGATTACCCCATGGGAAATTTAGAATGGAAAATTCTAGGGCCTCTTTCACCTATGGAAATATTAACAGATCATTCATTCTGTATTTTCCCAAGGGCAAAACTGAGATCAATGGTGATAATTATATGGAGTCAAACTTGGGCTAAATTCTTTTTAATGGATTTTTCAAATGAATTGGACATAACCTACAGTGGAATCAGCTCCCTGCTTGTAAGTCCAGTCCCTAGAAATCTAGACTGGTGGTTCTCTGAGTGAGAACCCAAGATAAACAGTATCAGTATCAAGATTACCGGAAAACTTGGAAATGTAAATTATTCAGCCCTATTCTAGTCTACTGAATTAGAAACTCTCCAGGTGATTCTGATTCACACTAAAGTTTAAAAACTAACATTGCCCTTTTGGCCAGAGACACCATCTTCCAGTAATTCACCAAAATGACAAACACAAAGGGAAAGAGGAGAGGCACCCAATACATGTTCTCTAGGCCTTTTAGAAAACATGGAGTTGTTCTTTTGGCCACATATATGTGAATCTACAAGAAAGGTGATATTGTAGACATCTAGGGAATGGGTACTGTTCAAAAAGGCATGCCACACAAATGTTACCATGGTAAAACTGGAAGAGTCTACAGTGTTACCCAGCATGCTGTTGGCATTGTTGTAAACAAATAAGTTAAGGGCAAGATTCTTGCCAAGAGGATTAATGTTCGTATTGAGCATATTAAGCACTCTAAGCGCTGAGATAGCTTCCTGAAACGTGTAAAGGAAAATGATAAGAAAAAGAAAGCAGCCAAAGAGAAAGGTACCTGGGTTCAACTGAAGCGCCAGCCTGCTCCACCCAGAGAAGCCCACTTTGTGAGAACCAACGGAAGGAGCCTGAGCTTCTGGAACCCATTCCCTATGAATTCATGGCATAAAGCATATAACATAGCACACAGGAGTACCAGTGGACCCATGCTTTTAGGTGCAAGAACCCATTTATTCCCCAAGAGCTCATGGCATAATAGGTGTACAGCATAGCACACAGGATAACCAATAGACCCCATGTAACAGTGATACAAGGTGCTGGAACCTATTTCCCATGAATTCGAAAGTCAACGCCTTGTCACATTCAATGGCAAGGTGCCTCCCTGAGCTACTGGAACCTCTTCCCTATGAATTCATGGCATGGTAGATAAAAATAAAGCCTGCCGCTACTGTAAAAATGTTTCTTGTTCATTCACTAAAAGTGTGATATTTTTTCCCCAAAGAAGTATTAAAGCAAATTGTAATGTGTCCTAAAAAATAAAATTAAAAGAAAAGAACTAGTCATTGGCTATTTGGCAGTACAGAGTTAGAAAAGGCCTTACTGATTATAAAACTAGGCTGGGGGTGGGAGTTCGTGCCTGTAATCCCAGTATTTGGGGAGGCTAAGGTGGGAAGACCACTTGAGGCCAGGAGTTCAAAACAAGCCTGGGCAAAATAGTGGAAACCTGAGGTCTATAAAAAAAATAAAATTATCTGGGAGGCAGAGGCAGGAGAATAGCTTGAGTTTGAGGTTGCAATGAACTATAATGATGCCATTGCACTCCAGTCTGGGCAACAGAGAAATAGACTGTTTCTCTTTTTCTTTGTTTCTTTTTTATTTTTTTAAACGAGTCTCAAGAGACTGTCTGTTAAGAAAAAGAAAGAATATAAAACTCTGTAACTTTAACATGCATGTGATCTCCTAAAGACCTTAGTAAGAACACAGAAGCCTGGACTTACCCTATAATATTCTGATTTAGTAAGTCTAATGTAAAAAATCAGAAATCGGTATTTTAACAATCTCCCCAGGATATTCTGATGTATACCAAGGTACATGGATTCCATTTAATCTATTTTATAAATGGCAAAACTGGGGCCCCAAAAGTTTGGCTCATCAGAGGTCACACAACTTCTTAGTGGCAGACCTAGAACTATAGCTCAGATTTTCTGACTCTTTGTCCAGTGATGTTTCCAAGTATTCAGTCAGAGGCTGAAACACCAGCCATTATGGAACTTAGAAGAAACTCCTAGCTTGCACAGAATAGCCTTTCACTACGGAGTGAATTTAGTGGGAGCTTAGACTCCAAAACCTGTTCAACAATAACTGTCTACAGATCTGAGTCAAACCAATTCCGGCCCTTTGCAATCTTCCATCCCTTATAACCTAGACCCACTCACCACTAGGAATTCCTTGAGGTGAGTCTCAATGTTCTTGTTGTAGAGAGTGAAGAGGGCAGCAGACACCTGGATGATGGCTTTGGTCAAGCAATGAATATTGTTGTTGTAGCCTCGGTTATTATTGATATAGGAGAGAGAAAAAAGGAAATGACTAAGTGAGCTGCCCCAGGCTGACCCCAACTGATAATTTCTCATTTTTTTTGGCTGAGCCACCCCCATTTAACACCACAAAGACAAGAAGGCATGTTGGGATTGGGAGCAGGGCATTCCTATGATCTCTCACAGAATTTTATGCATATACATTCTCAAGTACTTTTTGACATAGAACTTTACACCTGGGCTGGAAGTCTATACTTGCCAATGAGTATCTCTGTCTTCTCCCCCAGCCCTGGGGTGCTAACCTGAATAGCTCTGGTCTTTCAAACCTACTTCTTACTTACCATCCTTCTCAATGCTATAGAAGGAAGAAGGGTCAGTGGCAAGGAGTGGGAGGGAAACTGCAAGGAAGATCAAGAGCAGGCAGGCCACCTTATATTCTTCCTCAGGGGATGAAGAATCTGGTGACAGGGAAAAAGCAAAAGAGGAAAAGTAAAGAAAGTCAGCAAATAGTTATCATCTATAGGGGGCCAACTTCACAGAATTGCCATGAGGATCTTATGAGAAAACACGTCACAAAGCCCCACAGGTGACTTTTTACCCCTGAAGGGGATACAACTAGCATCCACCTAGAGCAGTGTTTTCAACCTTTTTTAATCTCACAGCACACTTGAACCTATCATTAAATGTCTATGATACACTTAAATTGTGTTGATAAAATAAAAAGAGTGAAAAAAAGAATATACTTACTGTGTTTTGAACTTCTTTCAAAAATAATTTAATTAATAATCTTTAAAATTTTTTCACCAGTTGAAAATCACTGATCTAGAGTGAGGGGCCTGAATCTTTGAGGCCCTCCCTGGTAATAGGGAGAACACTCAGCCAAGAGCTCTGCTGACACCATCAAGGACACCTGTCAGCTGCCTGATGGGGTAGAGGGGCAGGAGGGAGAGGAAAGGTTCTCACAGGACAGGAGAGAAGTGGGGTGTGTCTGGCAAGCAGGAAAGGACTTGATCCCAGCCCCTTGGTCCATCCTATTCTGAGTGTGTACAAGTGTGACTGTGCTAATCTGAGGAAATGTATAATGGAAAATGTAAGAGACACATGTGAGGCTGAGGAAGAAGTGAGTGTGCCAAGGTGACTATAAGGAGGAGAGAACACAAGATCTCCAAGGGGCACTTAGGTGCTACAGCAATAGCGCAGTGGGACGTACACAATTTTGTATTGTTCTTTCATTGCTTCCTTTGCTTTGATCTTATTTCCCCAACAGGGTGGTAAATTTCTTTGGGCATTTCCTGAGCACCAAATAGACTCTTGCTTTCTACTTTTTAACCAATTGGTAGATCAATTAGTTGGAACCTGAGGCAAAATCTAAACTGCCTCTCTAAGTATTTTCTGGAGGTTTTCCCCCAGGTCCCAGTTTATACCCTCTGAATTCACATCCCAAATAAAGGTTTCCCACCCAAAACCAGGGCCCAAACCTTCCCTTGATCCCTTCCGCCAATCTTACCAGCTTTCAGATTGGCAATGGCTGCCACCAAGGCTGGGTCAATGTCACAGCCCACCCCTGCAGCAGATGCCAGCTCAAAAACACTCAGAGTCACCTGGTAAGGAAGAAAAAAAAATTGTAGAGAGGATTCCCAGGAGAGAAATGCTTGGCAGAAACTACAAGATTCTTGGATCTGGAATTCCTGGATCACAGATTTTTAAACTTTTGGTATACTACATCTTTTCTGGATATTCCTTCCATAGCTCTCTCTAACCTGATGGGAAAAAAACCAAATGCTTTGAGCTTGACATTCAGGGTGCTTCATAGGACAGATTTTTTTTTTTTTAACCTTATTTCCCTAAATGCTTCCTTTAGTCAATGCAGCCAGGCTAATTTATTCACTGTCCCCAGACTACAGATTTCTTTCTTTCTTTCTTCTATACTCTGGTTCACAACCTCTCCTCTCCTCTACTTACATCAAAATAAGGCTCATCCCTGAGGCTTAGCTCAAATCTCATATTGCCTATGAAGCTCTCCCTGATTGCTTCAGCCCAAACCCATCTCTCCCTCCTTAAACTGGTACCACTGATTTAGCATTGATTGCACAAGTATCTAGTATCAGTTATTTTTCAGATAAGAGGTGAAATTCACTTCCTTATCTCACCACATAGATAATTTTTTAAAACCTCATGTCATGGCGATGGGAGAAAAAACTTCAGAGAAAGACAGATCTAGGTTCAAATCCCAGCAACCACCACTTACCAATATGTGTCCTTGGCTAAAAGTGACTTAACCTCTCTGAGCCCATTTTCTCATCTGTAAAACTGGGATAATGCTCACCTCACAGAGCTGTTGTGAAGATTAAGTTAGATGGCATGTGTAAAGCATTTACCCAGTGACTAAGAGAGTAAATGTCATCCTCTACTTCCTCTTCCTTTATCTTAAAGCCAGGAACTTGTCATTTCCCTTGTTCCTCACTAATACTTTACACAATGCTGAGCACGTAGAAGGCAACTAATAAATAATGACTGATTGGCACCTGAATCCCTTAGAATCAGGGTCCCAGGACATAGCCTCACCCCCAACTCCCACACTAAGTTCTTAGATCTCTGTTGAGGTTTTAAAAAAAAAAAAAAAAAGCTTCAAAATGTTCGGAGAGAACAAGAATAATTGTTTCGGCTCGGCGCCTATAGCTCAACCGGCCAAGGCGCCAGCCACGTACACCTAAGGTGGCGGGTTCGAATCCCCAGCCCGGACCCGCCAAACAACAATGATGGCTGCAACCAAAAAATAGCCGGGCGTTGTGGCGGGCGCCTGTGGTCCCAGCTACTTGGGAGGCGGAGGCAGGAGACTCGCTTGAGCCCAGGAGTTGGAGGTTGCTGTGAGCTGTAATGCCATGGCACTCTGCCCAGGGGGACAGCTTGAGGCTCTGTCTAAAAAAAAAAAAAAAAAAAAAAGAATAATTGTTTCAATACCAGACAACTAAGTCATCTGCCAAGAATGCCACAGACATAACAGCAGACCCACACGTTGCCTGTGGTACCAACACAGAAGCCAAACCTCGGCCAGCTTCTGCTCTGCCTTTTATTTAAATCCTATGCGACCTGCATGACTCGGTTTGTGGCAACCATGCCTAAGAAACAAGGGACCTGGTCCACGACCTGTGGTTTTCTGGAGGAAGAGAGAGGTGATTGAAGGGGTCTTATTTCCCCTTCTCTTAATCTCCTTGCCCCTCTGCAGCAGTAACAGCTTCTCTGATGGACAGGCCATCCTCCCTCTCCATCCCTACCTGCTTATTTTCACAGGCAAACAGAGCCTAAAGAGCAGAGCTGCCCAGAAGGTATCAGCCAGACAAGCTGCTGACAGCCTAGAGCATTCAGCCCAACATCAGCAACTGCCAGAACCCAAGCTCAGTTTCAAAGTAAAGACCATTCCAGAGGGGCAGCCAGCACAGTGAACATCGGCCCTCACTGCCTCCATGATCACCTGACCCTGCTATGATTTTAGACAGGAGGAAATTTCATAACTCTTTTGATCTCAGAGTAAGGATGTTTTCCTTAACATCTAACTTTAATTCTTCCTGCTAACCAGTTTCCTCTTATCACAGGCCCCTCTCCATTAAAGAAATCAATTCTAGGTGAAGTAGCCTGCCCTATGTGCTTGAAGGTCCTTGTTCCCAGGCTTTGGCTGTATTTCCTGCATAACACTGGTTAGTTCCAGATGATTCAAAAGACAAGATGACTCAAAGGTGGGGGAGGGGTGGGGAGTGAATGTTTCACTTCAGCTGTCTGCAGAAGCCCTTCTGCAGCCCCGTCTGTCTTCTCCTGTAGTAAACGGGAGCCTGAGGCAGGTGATGCAGACATAGAGAACCAGAAAGTTGAAAAGACCAGGAAAAGAAACTCTGAGCACAGAAATGGTGGGTGGGAACAGAAGGAACAAATCTTACAAAAAGTACCCAAGCTCCTGACTAGAAGGGGACTTGTTTGGCATCTGATTTGCACAGTGTTCATTTCAGGTGAAAACCTACCCCCTCTCCTTCCAATAATGTAGCCCCATGGGTTTTCCCAAGCTCCCTCCTTCCCCCTCATGTCTCCCCAGTTCTGCTCTTTCTCTCCCAGAAGATTTGTCCAATCAGTGTTCCTATCACTCGTGGCCCTTATCCCTATAGTATTCTTCAGAGCCCTCTCTCCTTCCCAAGATTCTAGCAACATCCTTTTCCTTTACTTTTTTTTTTTTTTTTTTTTTTTGTGAGACGGAGTCTCAAACTATTGCCCTGGGTAGAGTGCTATGCTGTCATAGCTCACAGCAACCTCCAACTCTTGGGCTCAAGTGACACTCTGGCCTCAGTTTTTCTATTTTTAGTAGAAACAGAGTCTCATTCTTTGCTCAGGCTGGTCTCAAACCCATGAGTTCCAGCTATCCACCACCTTGGCCCCCAGAGTGCTAGGATTACAGGCATAAGTCCTTTTCTTTGAGACAGAGCCTCAAGCTATCCCCCTGGGTAGACTGCCGTGGCATTATAGCTCACAGCAACCTCCTACTCCTGGGCTCAAGCGAGTCTCCTGCCTCCGCCTCCCAAGTAGCTGGGACCACAGGCGCCCGCCACAACGCCCGGCTATTTTTTGGTTGCAGCCGTCATTGTTGTTTGGCGGGTCCGGGCTGGGGATTCGAACCCGCCACCTTAGGTGTACGTGGCTGGCGCCTTAGCCGGTTGAGCTATAGGCGCTGAGCCATAAGTCCTTTTTCAATTGCAAATATCTCTTAGTTTCCGCTATGACTCCTCCATACCTTGATGTCTGTGTCTGGAGTGACAAACTCCTTCAAGCACTCAATGGGACCCATAAGAAATGGGCAGTGGGAGGAGAAAACCTGGAGGAAAGAAAAGACAAATAAGTCCACTGGACAGGGACGAACCAGTGCCTTCCCAAACAGGTGGAAACAAAGAAGAGCTTAACTTAGATGAGAACCTAGCCAGCTTTCAAGCCACCCCACTCCTCAGACCTCTGGGTTTCCTAAGATCTTCTATCCCTCGGGATCTTCCAAGACCTCTGCCAGATTAAGCTGCTGCTTCTCAACACTCACCAACCCTTCCACAACTTCTCATACAAACCCTACCCACAGGCGTCTGTGATTCTGTGACAGCCTCACTCCTCCCCAGCTCACCTCCCGAAGTCCTTCTTGTGCCATGGCCCTAAAACTGAGGATGACACCAATGATGGTCATGCGCTTCAGCACATTTTCAGCCCCTGAGGAGAAAGAAGGGTGTCAGAGTAGAGCACTTGGGAGAACAGTGAGGGTTTTGCTTCTTCAGACCCAGCCTAGCTGCCAGATCCCTGAAAAACTCTGTCATTCACAATGCTATTCCCACAGTTCCCTCTCACAGAAGCGGAAGGTGCTCACCCATCAGCTGGGGCAGCAGAGAGGCCATCAAGTCCGGCTTGCTGAAGTTGGACCTGATCTGAACGAGGATGTCCATGTTCTCCACCACCAGCTTCTGCAGCCCAGGAACACAGAGATATTGTGTAAGAAAAGAAAACCATCATCACATCTCCCCCCAGTCTCCTAGACCCAGCCCTGCTCTCCCCAGCTGGGACCTGTGTCCACAGTACCTTCAGCTCCACAATCTGAGAGGTCACATGCCACATCAGGTTTTCACTCAGGAACTTCATGCCATAGGGGCCCAGGAGTTCGGCCAAGGCCCGCATCTCTGGAACAGAGTTACAGAGGTCCCTGGTGGGACTCAGAAGGCACTAGAGCATTCACACAATAGCTACAGGGTAATTTGCACATTGAAAATGTTTTCCAGGCTGGTCACAGCAGCTCACACCTGTAATCCTAGCATTCTGGGCGGGCCAAGGTGGGAGGATCACCTGATCTCAGGAGTTTGAGACCAGCCTAAACAAGAGTGAGTCCCTGTCTCTACTAAAAGTAGAAAAACTAGCAGGTGCCTGTAGTTCCAGCTACTCAGGAGGCTGAGGCAAGGGAATCTCTTGAGCCCAAGAGTCTGAGGTTGCCATGAGCTATGACACCATGGCACTCTCCTCATGATGACAGAGTAAGACTCTGTCTGTGGCTTGGCGCCTGTGGCTCAAGTGGCTAAGTATCAAACTCCTGAGCTCAAGAAGTCCACCTGCTTTTGCCTCCCAGAGTGCTAGGATTACAGATGTGATCTACCACGCCTGGCCTAGATAAGCTTTTTTTTTTTTTTAATTGAGACAGAGTCTTACTTTGTCAGCCTCGGTAAAAAGCCATGGTGTTGGCTCAGCGTCTGTGGCTCAAGTGACTAAGGTGCTAGCCACATACACCTAAGGTGACAGGTTCGAGTCCAGCACGGGCCTGCCAAACAACAATGTGGGCTGCAACCAAAAAATAGCCAGGCATTGTGGCAGGCGCCTGTGGCCCAGCTACTTGGGAAGCTGAGGCAGGAGACTCGCTTGAGCCCAGGAGTTGGAGGTTGCTGTGAGCAGTGAAGCCGTAGCACTCTACCCAGGAGGACAGCTTGAGGCTCTGTCTCAAAAAAAAAAAAAGACTGTCTGAAAAAAATAAACAAATAATAAAATGTTTTTCCTAAAATAATAAAAGGAAACAGAAAGTCAAGGAGCAATAAATGGCCTGAAATCGTATATTTGGGTGACAGATCCAATCTGCCATGGGACACTCACTGTCTCCCCCATCAATACTGACACCAAGACTTACCAAATGTTAACTATTTATCCTCTTCTAAGAAGCTATACTTTCCCAAGTCCCTTTATGTGCTACCCAGGTTTTATTCTGGCTGTACTGGCTGTATATTAGATATAGGACCTTAAATAAGTCATTGTCCCTCTCTGAGCTTCAGTTTATATCTCTGTAGAAGGAAGAAATTAATATCTGCCATGAATATCTCACAGAATTGATATCCTAATAAATATGACACGTATAAAAATCTTAGAAAATTATGAAGTACACATGAATAAGAGATTATGCTGATGATAATGATTAACAGCCCTCTGGAGAAACAAGCACATGTGCTCAGTACCAAATTGGAACTGACCAGCCAACACTTAAGTACACATATGGAAGTCAATCCCGGTGAAAATCAAGCTAGGGGAGGCAGACGGAGGGAGGTAAATTCCCATCTTTTGGCTACAGTACACACTGTCTAGGTGAAGGGCACACTTACTTGTATAACTTTGACTCAATCTGTACAAAAACAAAGTATGTAAACCAAACAGACATGTGTATCTGGTAACATTGCAAATTTTTTTTTTAAGAAAGAGTCTGAAGTTGTCGCCCTGGGTAGAGTGCCGTGGCATCCCAGCTCACAGCAACCTCAAACTCTTGGGCTCAAGCGATTCTCCTGCCTCCCAAGTAGCTGAGACCACAGGCATCCAACACAATGCCGGGCTATTTTTCAGTTGTAGTTGTCATTGTTGTTTGGTAGGCCCGGGCTGGGTTTGAACCTGCCAGCTCCAGTGAATGTGGCTGGTGCCCTAGCCACTGAGCTATAGGCACTGAGCCACATTCTGAAATTAAAAAAAAAAAAAAAAAAGCCCTCTGAGCTATGTGGCACAGGCATTATGGTTGTGGTTTTATAGATAAGGTGGTTAAGCACTTGTCCGAGGTCACTTAACCACATGTGGGGCTGGTACCAGGACCTAGTGGAATGCCTTACTGCCCTTTATGTGTCCCGTAAGGTGTGGCTTTTTGCATGCTTCTCCCTTCCTTTCCCTTACTTAGTACTGCACTGTCCAAATTTCCCATTTCTTGAGCCACCTTTTCTTTTTTCATAATCAACACACCTCCCCAGAGTCCCAGTTCTTTTTTCCTCTAAATCCTTCTTCCCTTTCATCTGCCCCAGTGCCTTATCCCTCACTCCCCAGCCTGCTCCAGCCTTCTGTGAATTAAATAAAACCTGCCTGGGGAAATCCCATGTTGGAAACACTCCTGTAGTGACACATTCAGACAGGAGAGAGCTGTAGCTATGATCTTTGGCTATGGGCCATCCCAGCAGGGAAAACCATGAAAGACCAGAAGTAACGACAACAAGGGACCAGTAGAAGAAAGGCAAGTTCGATATTGTTAATAAGAGTTCAGAGAGAAAAAGAAGTCAAGGCTTCTTTTGAATCAGTCTTTGAAGGCAGGACAAGTTAATCTCCACCTCCACCAATGACAGAGGAAGTAGAACTAGTCACAGCAGCTGAAACACAGCCTTGTCCAGAGTAGATGATAAACATTTTTAGAGTCACCTATTGATAGCACGAAGAACTAAACTGAGAGCCCGAAAAAGGATTTTCAAACTTGTCAATTTAGGTGATGCTAAGATGGCTGACATAGGGGAAGAGGGGCGCATCGCCCACTATGGAGCTGACGGAGACGAGACACACTGATCTACCGGTTTAGACCTGCCAGACCTCTCTACCCCAGTCTTCTCTACCCCTGGCTAGTCACCCTAGGGTATCTTTCTCTTTCCAACTATCTATTTTTGTGGTAGCGTTGCCCTATCACCATGGCAACACAGAGAAATTGGGGTGGGGGTGGTAGAAGGGGGAATGAGCATTATTACCTCCTGCTGCTTGTCATTTGTCAGCAAGACCTCAAGCTGATTTTAGAGGCTGCCTACGGTTTGTGGGAGAGCTGATGAGAAGGGGACATCTGAAACCTCCAGCAAGTAAGAAGTAGGGTCAGCTTACTGCTGGGGGCGTGATGATGGGGAGGAGGCAGAACTACACAACAGAATTATGTACTCTAGCTGTTTTACCACCACCACTCCCAAAGTAGAAGACTGGAGAGGGCAGGGTCACGGGAACATCTTCTGCCTGTCCAGACACCATGCAGCATCCATGGTTTACATGGAGGTGAGGGGAAGGAGGAAGAAGTAGGATAGTTTATGAATCAGTCAGTGTAAAACAAATATATTAAAAGGGATCTGTCTGGTTTCAAGCCTTCTTTAAGAAGGGAATGGCTTCATTACTCATTCACTACATAGCCCTTACCCACTGCCTCAAGAAACAAAAGCACTTCTGTAAACTGGAAAGCAGCACTGCGTCCTGGCTAAGCACCCACCTTCTAGAATTTGTCTGCCTTGAGTTGAACTCCCTGTCCTACCATTTATGAATATGCGGTCTTAAGCAAGCTACTTAAACTCTCTGTGTCTCAGCATACTCATCTGAAGAATGGGGATAAGAGTACCGTGTTTCCCCCAAAATAAGACACTGTCTTATACTTATTTTTTTCTCAAGAAGACACACTAGGGCTTATTTTCAGGGATGTCTTCCCTCTCCGCACTGAAATGCAGATACGCTACATAGCCACACCCATCACTAGGTCTTATTATCAGGGTAGGGCTTATATTTAAGAAATCCTGCTAGGGCTTACTTTTTGGATAGGTCTTATTTGGGGGGAAACATGGTATGTACCTCAAGGCTGTTGTAGGCTGGAGTTAATATGCATAAACATTTACTATAACTCAATCCATAATAAATGTCACTGATCATCTTATCATCATTGCCATTATTATTATTATTATTTTGCAGTTTTTGACCAGGGCCGAGTTTGAACCTGCCACCTCCGGTATATGGGGCTGGAACCCTACTCCTTTGAGCCACAGGTGCCACCCCATCATTGCCATTATTAAACATCAGCAATCCAAACATTGGCTAAGCCTCTAAAATTTATGTCCAAGGAAGAAGATGCTATGACATCAGACTACAGTTAAATAATTCCAGGCATGAGAATGTTCTCCTTACACTTGATCCTTTACCCTTTGCTATATGTCCTATTCTTTTATTCTTGGTGGAAATGGAGACTAACCATTTACCACCCTTCGAAGAATCAATCCCTTCAATGAGTTGAGCCCCCTGCCTAACTCCCAAACTCCCCTCATTTTCCCATTTTCCCTCTTCACCTTCGAGTGCCAGGCCACTCCTCACAATTCTAGGCCTCTCTTTTTATTGTGCTTAAGATAGAGGCTAGCAGAGATAGTGAGAAGAGGATAGAAGGGGCCACTGGGAAGGAAGAGAATTCCAAAGGATCTGTGGGCTGGAGTACTCAATTGAGGGAAAAGCTCACCAGAAATGTCAGAGAACTCCTCTGCACTGAAGTTCTGTTCTCCCTCTCTGGGGAGGCTGATGAAGGCCTGCATGGCTGGAGAGAGGACGATGGTCCCACTGCTCGCCTGTCTAAGCAGACTTTCCAGATACCTACCAGTATGACCAAGAAAGCACGGAAGATTAGTGTCCAACCCCTTCTCCCTACTGCTACCACTGGGCTTGGAAAGAGAAAGTCTGCTAAATTCTGGGTTGGAGAAAAGAGACTCGCCACTAACACCCCAAGCTGTCAGGTCAAAACAACTGGCAGTAGTACAACTCCACTTTGCCTTTACTCTGCACAGTATTTTGCTCTGCTGTCCAGTGCAATGGTGTGCACCCCTCTTTATCGGCCCCTTCTCTTTTCCAGTAGTTACCCTCACAGCCTCAACCTAGCAAGAAAAAGTTCCTACTAACTAGGCTCCTCTGAAATATATTTAGCCTCAATCTCTCCAACGAGAATAAGTGGATTGAGGACCTATGATCCTGAAAGTCAGTTTCAAGTGAAATCTCCTGGGTAGAGAGACAACCAATGGGTGTCTGATCATCTTGCCTCCAAATACTCCCTCCTGACTGGTGGGCAAGCTTAGAGGGGCTAGGGTCCAGCCAATGCTGGCAGAGGAGGGCTACACCAATCCTTGCACTCCCAGGCACTAGCTCTGTGTCTGGGTCTGCATCTCATAGACATCACAAGCTGACCACCACTGGGCCACACCCAGCTGTCAAATGGGGCATTTGTTTTTTCCTTTTAATTTAATGTTAAATGGCTGACAGAGGGGAAGAGGGGCTGAATCTTTGGAGCTGATGGAGAATTAGTTATTAAAATTTTGAAACAAATTCCACATTAAAAAAATATATAAGGATTTAGTGGGGCAGCAATTAGGTGGCGCTCAGTAGTGGCTGTCCCCTTTAGAGGTCCCTACTTAGCCCACCACATCCATTACTTTACCTGCTTGACCCATGTTGGCTTTTGGATTTGCAAATTTTGTTTCCCCTTTCTCAGAAGGGGTTCTTTGCAGCCTGGCTCCTACTGAGCTGATTTTGGGTTTAAAGCGCCACCCAGTGGCTTGGGGAGGCAGGAATCCAGTTCCTTTCGTTCCTTAAAATCTCAAAGGAAATTGCTGATTCCACCTTTTCCAGTTTGGGGGAGGAGGCCCACTTCTCAGTTAAGAACAATCTACTATGACATGGTCTTGTCTGGAGACAAGGAGATAGTAGTATTCTAAAGAGATGATTGTAGGAAGAATGGTTTTTAGAGAGAGAAGCTAGGGCAAAAAGAGAAGTAAGTTCAGAAAGAGGAAGAAAGATCATTTGAAATTGAAACAATAAGAATCCAGAAAAGAAAGGTTAAGAACTGGAGATTAAGAGGGAAAAGGTTAAGTAACTACAGGTAGGTCGATGGCTGTTACATTGAAGGTTAGGAGGAAACTCAGCAGTGGACAGAAGGGGATCTGGATTTGCCCAAGGTTATTGTTTCAATCCTCATACAGAAACAAGCCTCCATCAGGGGGTCTATGTATGACCCTGGGAGCCAAAATGTTTGGGCTCTGAGGTCTGACTGTATAAAGGAAAAGGTGCTGACAAAGAGGTGAAGTTCCAGGAGAAGATATACTGGCCAGTTTGTGTAGAGAGTGGTGATGGTCTGTTCCCCACTGGAGTCCAGTGGTTGTGTCTGCTGCAGGAGGGCATTGCGGATGACTCTGGAAGCATCTGCACCCAAAAACTGGGCCAGTGACTGTATGAAACTGATGTATGCTTTGAGTCCTGCCAGCAGCTCCGAAGGTCTTACGATCTCCTGGGTTGTAGCATTGTAGCCAGCCAGCCATACAATGGCTCTGAGTGAGAAAAATCATAATTACAATCATCACAATGAACAGAGTAATGAGTAGTGAGCATGTATTGTGTTCTAGGAGCTGCTGTGCTGTGGCTGTACTGCACATATCTCATTGGAACGTCACAACAACCCAATAAGGTAGAAACAATCATTATCCCCATTTTACAGATGAGGGAACTGAGCCAGAGATACTAATATCATTACTGAAGACCACACTGGAAGTGGAAGAGCTGGGACTTCTGTCCAGTAACATTCAATCAAACTTTTCTGCCTCCTCTGAAGAAACTGGGTCAGGTAGTAAAAAACCCTGGCTTGGGTTCCCAGCCAGGCGCAGTGGCTCACTCCTATAATCCTTGCACTCTGGGAGGCAAAGGCAGGTGGATCACCTCAGCTCAGGAGTTCAAGACCAGCCTGAGCAACAGTGAAACCCCATCTCTACTAAAAATAGAAAAACTAGCCGAGCTTTGTGACAGGCACTTGTAGTCCCCAGCTACTCTGAAGACTGAGGCAAAAGGAACTCTTGAGCCCAGAAATTTCAGGTTGCTGTGAGCTATGACTCCATGGCACTCAACCCCCAGGGCAACAGAGTGAGACCCTATCCCAAAATAAGAAGAAAAAAAAACCTAGATTCCCAAATTCCATCTAACTCTACCTCAGAGTTCACACCACCTGCCTCGTTGTGTCAGTATTTATCTCCTCTCCTTGGAAAGAATTATTTCTAACCTTTATAGAAATGGAAAACCACACTTAGAAATACTTGGAAGTGCAGTGTGATCCTGAGTGGCCTCAGGACACCAGGGCTCGACAGACAGCATGTCTGGCTGACATGCACTACAGCCAACCTTAGGGAGGGCAGGATGACTGTCTCCCTTATACTACTGTAGGGGCATGTCAGCAAGACTCCTCCCCCCAACCCCCAATACCTTCCAAAATACCTTTGCCAAGTATCAGAGATTTCACAATTAGAGTCAGCCCTTTAACTAAAAGCTTTCTTCCTTATTAAAATGTAAACATTAAGGGAAAGAGATAGCCTTTGTCAGTCATCTGAACCTAAGTATGAATGAGTTAACCCCAGTCTTCCTTAACCCATAGATATTTAGAAGTTTTTGTGTTTGGGGGAAAATGTTTATGACAGGGAAGGGGAAGGGACCATGGAAGGACTATTGGCAGATAAAAAGGAAAAGACCCTCAAGTGGTCTCAAATAATAATAATACAAAAGGGACAAGTTGAGGGCAAGCCTAACTTATTATAGTTTTCATCAAGGCCAAACTTCTAGGCCAACCTTGGGACACTGAGAACACGAGGTCAGTGCAACAGGCATCAGAGATATGCTAGGGAAACTTGAATATCACATCCATGCTGCCCCCACAGCCTGGAAACCACCACAGGCTTCTGAAGGTTTGCAAATGGGCCATTATCAAACTGTCATCTTCCTGACATTGTGTATGCAACTGAGACGCTTCCTTCCATACAGCTAATGTGTACATAATGAAACCAAACTAATTTGACTTCGCCCAAGCAAAAACCTAATTGAAAAATAAGTCTGTGTCTCATACAATCAAAACACAGACTCGACTTGTCTCCCTGCTTCTGTCCTTGTCCCCACAAATGCATCCAGGGTGAAATACTGCATCGAATTTTACTAACACAGCTCTGCTCAAAACCTGCCAAGGGTCCCCATCTCACGCAGAAAAAGAACCTAAGCCTTTACAATGACAGATAAGCATCTGCACCGTCTCCCACTCCCGACCTCCAACCTCCCATCCTACTGGTCTCCCCTAGGCTCATTCTGCTGCAGCCACACTGGTCTCCTCCACGTCCCTTCAACATGGCAGGCGTGTTTCCACCTCAGAGACTTTACACGTGCAAAGCATTCCTCTACCTAGAATGCTCTTTCCCTGATAGTCCCACCACTGCCCTTCTCGGCTCCTTCAGAGGTTTACTCAAATGTCACTTTCTCAAGGAAGCCTTCCCTGTCCACCCTAAGATGACAATACCCACCATCACCATCACACACCTCCTATCTCCCTGTCCTGCTTTATTTCTCTGCTTAGCACTTATCACCATCTAACCTACTACATACTCTATCTTATTTTGTTTATCTCTCCCACTAGAAGGTAAGCTTCTCGGGGAGGCAGGGATTTTCATGTTTTGTATACTGCTGTACCAACAGCTTTTAGAACACCTCTAACACCCAGAGGTATTCAATATACATTCGCTGAATGAATAAGCCACATGTCCCACAACAAAACACAGAAGACGAGAAGATTATTCATAATAATTCTTCCCATTGCCCTAATTGCTGACTGTCGTGCCTAATTCCAATACAAAGGTTCTTCCACCTGCTTTTGGGGTCAATAGAATGAGGGGCAAAGCAGAGGAAAGGGTATATATTTTACTAAGGTTTAATACTTTGCACTCATTCTTCATTTTAATTCTCTACCAATTCTCAATTGTAGGTAATTCTCAACTATCTATAAGGTAAAAAAAATCACTATCCTTACTTTATAAGAAAAGAAACTGGCTCAAAGAAGTTAGATAATATGCTTCAAAATCTTAGCTAATGGTCAAATTATCAACACAGATCTGCTGATTGCAAAGACTTTGCTCATTCTACTAAATCAGTGGCAATCTGGCTGTTCATCAAATTACCTAAATAGTGTTGGTGGTTCTTTTTGTTTGCTTGCTTTTAACAGAGATGCTTGGACCTATGCCAGACTGACTGCGTCAGAATCTCCACAGTGGGACGTGACCACCAGGACGAATCTAATGGGACCCAACTCTGTGGACTACTATACTACACAAACATACAAGATAAGGAAAGAGTGATACCTGTTAAGCCTGGCCTCCAGATGGCTACTGAGATATTCAGAAGGAAAGATAGTGTGTCCAAACACAGAGAAACTATAGACATGATTCATCGTCAGTGCCAATTCTGTCAAGTTTAGGTGTAGCTTGTCCATGCTAGAAAGTAAAATGAGCCTTGATTATGGGTCTGGCACCATCCATTAGTATCTGAGCAGGCTGAGTCAGTCTATGGCTGTCAGGACCCTTCCAGCTTCTGGGGATACTCAGCCTAGAACAGTACACATTGATGCTGACTTCAAAGACAAAGCAGAAAATGCACACTTAAGTGATTTTCCGTCCCCTTCTTTCCCCACCCCGATTCCACATATTCCTGCGGTAACACCTTCCCTCTCCCCCTTTCTTCCTTCTTTGAGGCAATGCTCCATTGACCCTCTCCGGACCGGGTCCTCACTTGGTGACGATGCTGCGGTTCTTCCGGTGACTCTCAGCTCCTGGCTTATCCCTCTCAGGCTCTCCTTTTCTGGGAGTCTGTCTCTGCTTCATGGTTTTCTTGTTCTTGGCCTTGCTGATGGTAGTAGCACAGTGCTTAGGTAGAAGCTTTACAAACAAACACAGGTGAGTAGAGACATGAGTTTTGTTGCTAAAACGGCCAAGTAGCCCATCAAACAGTTATTACAGGGTCCCTGTAGCATTGTCTGTTCTTTTATCTTTCTGCCTTTCTCTTTCTCCTTCCATGGATCTCCTTCCCTAATGAGAGCCTGTTTGGAATGTGCTCACCTCTTTTAGTTTTCATAAATATCTCTCCATGTATAGGCTCAAAGTCTCAAGATGGCAGTGTCTTTCAGGGAGCAGAACATCACGCCCCCACCCACATCCTGAAACAGACTTTCCTGATGGAAAAAATTCAAGCAAAAAGAATAATATCTAAAAGCTCCACTCAACTATGTTTTCTAATGTGTTCTAACCTATGAAACCAGTTATTTGCTAAGTAGAACAACCATCTCACTTGCTATAGTCCTTCATAGTCTGTCCCATGGGACAGTTGCCCACAGGTCTCCAAAGAAATGACAATATGCCCCGCATTTCATTCCCACTTTCTGGTGTTGTTGTTGTTGAAATATCATATTTCTTGCTCGCTAAACATCAACCTAGCATCTCTTCTCTTCACTGAGATAATCCAGTTAGCCATACCAAAAAAATATAAGATAGAATTATATATTCAGGTATCTCCTTCAAAGTAATTGGAATTCTCTGCATTTATTCCAATGCTACAGAGCTGGAATTACTCTTACAGCAACCTAAGGGTCACATGAGAAAACTGGTTTTGTTACTTTACAGTCACACCTTCTTTTAAAAAAATTCAAATGCTTGTCTGTTTCCAAAAAAATCAAGTCCACCTTGATGGAAAAACATGTGTCAACCCTGAGATTATGCAAAAGTGTCTATAGTAGATCCTGAAAGCAGTCCCCCCAAAAGGTAACTCCATTAGTAATTACTTACTCAAAATGTTAACTCTGGAGGGCCAATACTCATTTGGTTGCAAAAGTTCTGGTGTGGTAAATATTATGCACATCAGGCTTTAGTCATCCCTGACACAGCATTGAGCAAACCTCATTAGCAGTGTCTCTTGCGTGTCGTGGGTGTTCACACTGAGGGACACATACACCTACAGTTGTATTTGTGTATGTATCCTCCCTGCATTAGTTATTTTAATTACTTTCAAACATATATTTGTACTCCCTTTTCCTTTAAACTGGGGCATTCCTCAAGGGCAGGGATTGTGTACCTTACTTCTGGAACCCCACCCTAAAAACCAAGCACAGGGCTCAGCGCCCAATAAATAGCAAGTAATATAACAGCTAATGCTCACTGACTGCTGTGTGCCAAATATTAAATGAACTCTATTTTATTTAGTCCTTGTAACACTTTTATAAAGAATTTTCACCCCCATTTTACATATGAGAAAATAAAAAGTAATAATGTAACTGTGACTCTGCACACACATACACACACACACACACACTCACTCATCTGCACACACCCTGGCTCCACGTCTACCAAAGTTGCTACAAAGCCTGACTCAAACCAGGAAGGTTGGGTAGTCTGGGAAATCTAAGATTCCAGGGCAATAAATAAATACTCCAGGGCAATGGCAAAACAAGTTTCTCACTTTCAAATTTTCTAAAATTTAGGTTGAGCTAATCATGACCAGGTGCTATGAGTCAGTGACGGGAGGGGCTGGGGGAAGACAAGAAGAAAAAGGCCCGAGAGCAGCCCTGAGGACAAACACACAAGAGGCGCTCCGAAATGTCCACAGAGCTGCAGATGAACAGGAAGATGAGACAGGACAGGTGGTCTGGGGGCCACTGCCCCGACTACACGTACGCAGGGCAAAAAGAGGAGGGAAAATAAATTAAGAAGTAAACTCGGCTCTCAGAACTCGTCAGATGACAGCACAGATTTTGTTGGGAGTGCAGCTGTTCAAATAAGAGTATTTTTAGATGCCTCTATCTTGTCCTAAGGGGGTAAAGTCTGAAGAGACTGACTAAGAAAAGAATCCTGCCATAGGCTGCTGGGCGTGGTGGCTCACGCCTGTAGCAGATTGCTTGAGCTCAGGAGTTTAAGACCAGCCTGAGCAAGAGCAAGACCTTGTCTACTAAAAATAATAAAAGTAGCTGCGCATTGTAGGAGAGCACCCGTAGTCCCAGCTATTCAGGGGGCTGAGGCAAGAGGATTGCTCAAGCCCAAGAGTGTGAGGTTGCTGTGAGCTATGATGCCACAGCACTCAACTCAGGGTGACAGAGGACACCCTGTCTCAAAAAGAAAAAGAAAAGAAACAAAAAAAGAATCCTGCTATAAACTCAAGTACACAAAGGCCCCAGTCCTACTAAAGAGAAAGATGAAACCTGGTGTGGGAGAGGAGAGCAAGGGTGGGTAGAGGAGAAGGCACTAGGGTGGCAGGGCAGGGGCTGGCAGAGGGGGGCTGACAGCGGGAGGGTGGGCCTACCTGCTCACTCAGGTTTCGCTGCTCAGCACAGATTTCCAGGACACAGTTGCTGGTCTGCTTGGCCAGCTCTTCCAGGAAGGAGTTACAGTGGTGAAGACCATGGTTCTTCAGGTGGGGATACTACAGGAAAGAGGGACCAGTAAGGAAATTATCACCTTTGGGGACAGGCACTACTTCTCTGATCTCCCCTTGTCTAAGCTACCCCCTCCTACAGAAGAAAACACTGTGGCCCAGAGAGAGAAAACACATTGTACATCAAGCTACTTACAGACTCATACCAAATATCTATGGTTTCTGGGACCAAAATCAACCCTTGGAACTGTGTTTTGGGGAAATAAGGATGAGAGGTGACCAGAAAAAATGGCACAATTTGGAGTTGAGGATACCCACCTCCTCTGGACACATCTCATGAGTGCAGTGGACAAAATGAGCACAAACTAGGGGGAAAGCAATGGCATAACGCAGCATGGTGGGTTCCTCCAGGGTCATAGCAAACATCTTCTCAAAGGTACGGAGATGGAAGCTGCAGGGAGAGGGTGTAGGAGCTGGTGTCTTGGAGGTGGAGAGAACATTTACTCTTTCAACATGCATTTATTGATGGATACCCACCGTTCCCTCATTAATTTCCCTACCCTGAGACAAAAGGGAACCCAGGAAACATAACTCTTTCAGACTTTTATAATGGACCCCAGGTCAGTTTCGTGATAATCTTCTTCCCTTTCCTTGCACAAACTTTGCTCTTCCTCCTCAGAATCTTTGCATGACTTGGGCCAGTCTCTCTAATTTAAAAGTTGTTCGGTAAAGCTTATTCATATTCCTCCAAAAATTCGGCACTCAGGCTCCAGAAAAACCTTCCCAAATTAATCCCATGAGACTGATCTTTTCTTAACTCTATAATCTTCTCAACTTCCTTACTCTTTCTGCATTTTTTTGGACACAGAGTCTCACTGTGTTGCCCTCAGTAGTAGTATCACAGCTCACAGCAACCTAAACTCTTGGGCTTAAGCAATTCTCTTGCTTCAGCCTCCTGAGTAGCTGGGACTACAGGCGCCCACCACAATGCCCAGCTAGTTTTGTTTTGTTCTGTTTTGTTTTGTTTTGGTTGCAGTTGTCAATGTTGGTTAGCTAGCCTGAGCAGGGCTCAAACCCGCGCCAGCCTCAGTGCATGTGGCTGAGCTAGAGGCACTGCCCTGCATTTTCTTATATTTCCAAGTATTACGCTGATGTCCTTTTCACAAATGAATACCACATCTCCTCATCTGTCTCAGTTACAGAAAGCAAAGACAACATATTTTTCACTTATTTGATTCTTCAAAGGGTAGAGTTATCTATAACTGTGGTCCTAATAAATATTGACTGCTGCTTAAAGAAGACAAATCAATGTTCATTCTCCAACTCTATTTTTCAGCCCTTCAATTATTTCCTGTTCCCTCCACTATACCTCCAAGTTTTTTATGTCTCTTTTAAATCACAATGTCCCAAGATTAAAAAAAAAAAAAGAGCTGAAGAAGTTTCCAAAGATAACACTAAAGATGAGAAAAGATTGGAACTAGACATATGGATGAGTTATCCTAGAGAAGAAAAGGCTGTGTCAACTCCAACTGGCTTTCCACAAGAGAATGAATACAGAACAAAAGGGAATCAAACTTCAAATTCCTAACAGTTAGTATTGTTGGTAGACGCTGCCACGAGACAGCTGTGGAGTTTGAGCATCTGCCTTTAAGGAAATCAAAGAAAACAAGACTTTCCCATCTGTCTGGGGGAATTATAATCCTCCACAGAGGCCAGCCAAGAGTACAAAGAATTTATAATGAGCTCTGAACCAGGACATACCAGAAAATAGATAGGTCAGACGTTTCTACCAGCAGTTTCTCTACTGAGTCCAGCATTTGGGAGTGGAAGACGATGAGGTTCATCACCTTGGCTAAGTCAGGGTTCTCGTGCAGGTGCAGCGGGGCCTTGGCCACGCTAGTGTATGCCTGTGGTTGGAGTTGGACAAAGAGGAGAAAACAAAAAAAGTGAGGAGGGCCCCCAGCCTTGGAACTAAAATTTGGCCTGGGTATGTCCTATCCAGTTGGCAGCTTTCAAGTTTGACTCACTCCATAAAGCAGAGGCTAGGAGATAAAAAGAGAAAGGACTGTGGGGGAGAAGAGTCTGCGGAACAGACCATTAACAAGAACAGACCATTACCTGTAGGCGGAACCAGTCCAGCCTCAATCCTGAGAACTCAAATCCTCCATTATCAACTGTAAGAAAAACAGAAGCAAGTTTTTAAAGGAAACAATAAAACAGCACACTAACATCCAACGCATAGAATGGTAGGTCCTCTTTAAGACATCTTATATCATTCCCTGGCTCAAAGGTCAATATTTCTAGAGAAGAGATACCCTCATAAATGCCCTGCCTTCCCCACCTCCTTCCAGGTACCTTGTTTGAGATTCAGAGAGGAGAGAGTGCTAACAAATGAGGACATGATGATGGATTCCTCCTCTGGACACACAGACAGGTTCTAAAAGAGAAATGGGCATAGGTTCCCCAGGATAGAAACCAAGGCCACAGGGTTCATCAACATAGAGAGGTAGAAAGCATGACTAAGCTAAGTGCCAAACCAGAGAGAAAAGGTCAAGTAAGACTGGAGGAAACTTCCTGGGTTCCTTGCCATGTTAACACCCAATTTCTCCTTATCTTTCTCTTCTATTTCCATGCCAAGATTATTAGTCTTTTTTATTTTTTTTATTCTAACAGTGTAGAAGGGGAAATTAGACTCTGTAGACACTCAATCTACAGAGCATAAAGGTCAGCCAACATGGCTCCCTAAGAAAATGAGCAGCAATCACCATGAAATTTCCAAAGTATAATCAGCTAAACATCATACCTGAATGATATCACTAAGCACGAGAGCATCAAATCTCGCCAAGTATTGCAGGTGGTATTGCTGTATCACTTTGGTGTGTCTTCGGACCAGAGCCCTAATCTCTTCCAACAAGAAAAGTAACTCTGCAATGCTCCTATAAAGTTGAGGATAAGAACAGAGAGATGTAGGAGATGAGAAATTTGAATTAAGACAAATATTGTGATTAATAGGGTAGAAACTGAGACCTCATGAGGTCATTTGATCCCTCCTTGGTCCCCAGTTCATCTAAGGACAAGGTTCTTAGCCATGTCTCAGTCAAGTACTAACGAGTCGGCATAGTCCTCAGGTGTCTTCGTCTTTGTGACATTTTCTGTGTGGCGAACCAGCCAGGTGACCTCATCACGAATGAAGGACAGGGCCATGAAAGCAAAAAGGGCCTAGAAAGAGGACAGAGATTATTAGAATTTTCAACTTTATTTTTGGCTTTTGGGTTTTGTTGTTTTAGAATTTTTCACTTTAAAAATAGATTTCAGGCTTGGCACCTATAGCTCAACCGGCTAAGGCGCCAGCCACGTACACCTAAGGTGGCGGGTTCGAATCCCCAGCCCGGACCCGCCAAACAACAATGACGGCTGCAACCAAAAAATAGCCGGGCGTTGTGGCGGGCGCCTGTGGTCCCAGCTACTTGGGAGGCGGAGGCAGGAGACTCGCTTGAGCCCAGGAGTTGGAGGTTGCTGTGAGCTGTAATGCCACGGCACTCTACCCAGGGGGACAGCTTGAGGCTCTGTCTCAAAAAAAAAAAAAAAAAGAAAAAATTGATTTCAAAGCACAAAGAAAACTACCATGATAATATACATATGGATACAATCGTGTGGCCACACCAACAGTGTCCAATAATAAACATACATACTGGCTCGGCACCTGTAGCACAGTGGTTACAGTACCAGCCACATACAACAAGGTTGGTGGGTTCAAACCCAGCCTGGGCCAGTTAAAACAATGACAACTGCAACAAAAAATAGCTGGGCATTGTGGTGGGCACCTGTAGTCCCAGCTACTTGAGAGACTGAGGCAAAAGAATCACTTAAGCCCAAGAGTTTGAGGTTGCTGTGAGCTATGATGCCACAGAACTCTACCAAGGGCAACATAGTGAAATTCTGCCTCAAAAAAAAAAAAATATATATATATATATATACACATACCCACAAAAAATCTCAACCATGTCATGTACATATGACATATGATGTACAACCATCAGTCATGTACATATGTTAACACTGGCTCATTGTATCCCTATCAAATGAAATTTTAGAAATATTTACTGGACATGTATGTGGTTTAAAGCAAAAAAGCAAGGTGTCTCCAATTAGTTCACATTCAAACGGAAAATAAGAGAGGAGAGGAGAGGCGAGGACAGATAGCCATAATATATGACATACTAAGACCATGCCAACAACAGCAATATGAAAAGCTTTGGGGTACTCTGAGAAGATTCGACAGAATCAGCAATGTTCACAAAGAGATCACAGAAGACTCAGAAATACAGTCTGTGGTTGCCAAGTCACTTCCCACATGGTCTCCTGTCACTGGTGGTTATCCCCCTCCCAGCGTTTCTTTCTCTTGCCTTTGGACCCAGCAGTCCTGGTTCATCAGTTAACACAGTCTCCAGCTCCTTCACTGCCATCCGCAGAAATTGTCGCCGTTGACAGTGAAACTGGCCACTAAGAAAGAAATAGAAAACTGGAGAATATTGCCTCTCCCACCCTTAACAATCCTGCGCCAGTAGCACAGAAGAGAACTGCATTGGGAAGGGGTGTAAGGCAGGAGGAAGGTCCAAGGCTAAAGTCAAATTTGTTAAAATATAATCGTTTTTAAAAGCCCACAGGAGGCTGGGGGGCAGCAGCAAGTTCTTCATCTGAGGCAAAAAGGCTGTCTAGCAACCAGGGATGGCTTAGGTGAGGACAGCAGTCAGGACGGATTCCTAGTCCAGCTCCTCTCAGAAAGCACATTCCCCATCTTTACCTGTTTGCAATGACATATTCCTTGCTCTCCTTGATGTCTGCCACTCGCTTGCCATACCTGAGGATTAACACAAGCACAGCAGGGTTGGCCACGCTACTGGTCAGGGGCCCTCAGAGTCCAACCCACAGCCCCGGGGGAGCACAGGCAGCCCCGCACTAGCAGCTTCTTCCTCAAAATTTTCAGTTCCGCCCCATTATTTGGCAGATAAGGAAAATAGCACCAAAGTCACACGGGGCTTTAATGGCTAAGCCAGGGTTGACTTCTCATTCGGTGCTCCTGCCTTGCCACCTTCAAGTCAAAGTACTCCTCCAGGTTTGAGAGGGGCAAGAGAAGCCGTCCACGACTGTAACACAGTCCCTGCTCTCAGGTGAGAGTAGTTCCTGCAACTCCACCTTGGGTGGCTTCCCACACGCTTCCTTTCAGAGTGTAACTTTATGCATCATCTCTTTTGTCACCTTAATCTCTCCTTTCCACTGCCTTATTCTCTTCTCCCAATAAATAAATGCAAAACCTGCCTTATTCTAAGAATGCCCTAGCTAGACCCAGAAAGTCCAGTGACCTTTGCTCATTCTCCCCCACCACCAAACTCCTCCAAAGAAACACCTATACTTGTTTCACTTCTTCACCTCTCACTGACCCTTCAACACTAAGCAAACTTCTCTGAGATCAGTGTGTACTTTTGCATCACCAAGTCAATGGCCCTTTCATTGTTTTTGGTTTGTCTGAAATATTGGACTTTCCTGCCCGGGCCTCTTTTTCTCTACCAATGAACATACTCAAACCCCAGCATTACCTTTCACCCTTTGCTCACTACATTCCCCACATCTGTCTTCTCTTGTCCTGCATCACTGCTACCACATTGTGGGGACTTCATAACCTCTCATTTCCCTTCCCCAAACCATTCCTTTATTGAACTTAGCATAAAATCAAAGAATCCTAGAGTTGGAAAAATCTTAATTAAATCCTGATTCAATGCCACAGAGTTGCTTGATAATCATTTCTTTTTTTTTTTTTTTTGAGACAGAGCCTCAAGCTGTCGCTCTGGGTAGAGTGCTATGGCATCACAGCTTATAGCAACCTCCAACTCCTGGGCTCAAGTGATTCTCCTGCCTCCACCTCCCAAGCAGCTGTGACTATAGGCACCAGCCACAACATCTGACTATTTTTTGGTTGTAGCCATCATCGTTGTTTGGCAGGCCCAGGTGTATGTGGTGCCTTAGCTGCTTGAGCTATAGGTGCTGAGCCTTGATAATCATTTCAACCTTTGCATAGTACAATGGAAAGGGACAGGATTAGGAGTTAAAAAAGCTAGAATTATTTCCTAATTCCACCTCTTCTTAACTGAATCTCAATTTTCTCATTTATTAAAAAAGATACTAGCCAGGCACGGTGACTCATGCCTGTAATCCTAGCTCTCTGGGAGGCCAAGGTGGGTGGATTGCCTGAGCTCATGGGTTCAAGACCAGCCTAAGCAAGAGCAAGACCCAGTCTCTTAAAATAGCCAGCTATTGTGGCGGGCACCTATAGTCCCAGCTACTCAGGAGGCTGAGGCAAGAGGATCACTTGAGCCCAAGAGTTTGAGGTTGCTGTGAGCTATAATGCCACAGCACTCTACCAAGGGTGACAAAGTGAGACTCTGTCTCAAAAAAAAAAAGATATTAATACTTATACCTGAATTACCATGAAGATCAAATTAGATCATTTATGTCACAGAACTCCCTGAACTATAAGTCATACATGGTAGTTGCTATTCTTAGTGATAGGGAATTAAATACCCTTCAAACATCCCTTCCATTTCTTAGAAACAGTGATCATTAGAAAGGTTTTCCTGGCTCGGCACCCATAGCACAGTGGTTACAGCACCAGGCACATACACTGAGGTTGGTGGGTTCAAACCCAGCCTGGGCCAGCTAAACAACAATGACAACTGCAACCAAAAATAGCTGGGTGTTGTGGCAGGGGCCTGTAGTCCCAGCTACTTGAGAGGCTGAGGCAAAAGAATCACTTAAGCCTAAGAGTTTGAGGTTGCTATGAGCTGTGATGCCATGGCACTCTACAGAGGACAACATAGTGAGATTCTGTCTCAAAAAAAAGTTTTTCTGTATGTATGTGTGTATGTACATAAAGCCGCCTCCTGTAATTCTAATTATTAATCTTAGATTTACTCTCTCTTAACTATGGCAATGTTTTTTTTAAATACTACCCAGTTATTGAGAGTATGAAGAATCAGTATTCTCATAGACTGTTGATAATATAATCTATTTGGAGGGCAATTTGGTAAAAATGTGCATTCCCTTTACCCCACTTCTTAGAATTTACTCTATGGAAATAGTCGCATAGATTTACAAAGACAAATTTCTAAGAATGTTCATTACAGTATTGTTTGTAATGATTTTAAAAAGTAGAAGCAGTTCAAATATCCATCAATAGGGGCTTGGGTAAATAATGTTATAACCATATAATGGAATTCAATTGTTAAAAAAAGTTAGTCTTTATACATAGATACTCAAAGATATCCAAAATATAGTAAGTAAAAAGAAGCAAACTTTAGAATATAGTTTGCTGGCTCGGCGCCTGTGGCTCAAGTGGCTAAGGCGCCAGCCACATACACCTAAAGTGGCGGGTTCGAATCCAGCCCGGGCCCGCCAAACAACAATGATGGCTGCAACCAAAAAATAGCCAGGCGTTGTGGTGGGTGCCTGTGGTTCCCAGTACTTGGGAGGCGGAGGCAGGAGACTCACTTGAGCCCAGGCGTTGGAGGTTGCTGTGAGCTGTGATGTCACGGCACTCTACCCAGGGGGACAGCTTGAGGCTCTGTCTCAAAAAAAAAAAAAAAGAATATAGTTTGCTTTTCAAATATTATTTATATAAGGTCAAAAATATGGCAGGGCAGGGCAGGGCGGTTCACACCTATAATCCTAGCACTCTGCGAGGCTGAGGTAGGAGGATCGCTTGAGCTCAGGAGTTCAAAACCAGCTTGAGCAAAAGCAAGATCCCGTCTCTATTTTCTACAAAAAAAATGGAAAATAGAAAAATTAGCCAGGCATTGTGGTGGGTCCCTGTAGTTCCAGCTACTGTGGAAGTCTGAGGTTGCTGTGAGCTAGGCGGATGCCACTCTAGCCTGGCCAACAGAGTGAAACTATGTCTAAAAATAAATAAATAAATAGTACACCTTTGTACATTTATACATATATACACGCAAGCATCTGGAGGATATTTATCAACCTATTCAAGGAGAAGAGATTGTAGCCAACTTCCACTTTGTATTTTTTATATTTCTGATTGGTTGTTTGTTTCGCAGGCCTGGGCCAGGTTCAAACCTGCCAGCTCTGGTGCATGGGGCCAGTGCTCTAACCATTGAGATACAGGTGCCCAGCCTATTTGCAAACTTCTTAAAAGAATTATTTATTAAAGTACTTATCTCTCATTTTCTCCCAAACCCACAACATAGCTGTCGACCTCCCTGCTGAACTAAAGCTGTTCACAAAACAGGCACCAAGACTCTATAGCCAAATCTAATGAACATTTGTCAATCCTCATTTTATCTGATCTCTCAGCATCCTCTGACATAAATAACCAGTCCTTCCTTCCTTCTGGTTTCCCTCCTTTCCCTCCTTTTCTCAATACCTATACTTGATTTCTCTGCCTCTGCCCGGCCCCTAAACATCAATGTACATGGAGGTTTATTCTGTCCTTTTCTGCCTCCACATGTTCTCCCTGAGTAATGTCATCTACTTTCAAAGCTTTGATTACCAGTTCACTAATCTTCATATGAATCTAAACATCATCCCTAAGTTCCAGGACCACAGAGTAAAAGGCCTAACACACATTCTTCTATCTTCAGTGTCCTACAGACACATCAAATTCAACCTGTTCAAAACAGAATGCACAATCTTTCTCCCACCAACTTAGTTACATGTTCTCGTTTTTAATGAAATCATAGCTGTGTATATTAATGCAATCAGGGGATGCAATGTGCTGGTTTTATATACAATTTGAAATGTTTTCATCAAACTGGTTAACATAGCCTTCACGGCATTTTCTTAGTTATTGTGTTAAGACATTTATATTCTACACCTAGCAAATATTATTGGAATAGAGGTAAAGTTGAAATTAGAAATTCAAGGAGCAATTATCTTTTTTTTTTTAAGATGAGGTCTTACTCCATCACCCAAGCTAGAGAGCAGTGACTCTCACAGCTCACCATAGCCTCAAACTCTTAGGCTGAAGCAATTCTTTGGTCTCAGCCTCTCCGGAGTAACTGGGATTACAGGGCCAAGCCAACACATCTGGATGTTCTCCTATCTTAACAAATGCCAGATATCCGTGCCAGAAACTTTGACATCCCTACGTTTAATTCCTTGCAGCCTGAGTGATCTTCTCCAAAATGCAAATATGATTATGTCACTTCCCTGTTTGAAATCCTTCAATAGCTCCCTATCCTCTTTAGGACAGATCTAAACTCCATAGTGAAGTACACCCAGTCACAACTTACCTCTCCAAATTCACCTGTGGACATCCCCACTTTTGCAACCCAGCTGCCCATGCACCAAACTTAACGAACTTTTTAGAACTTGCCATGCTCTCTGTTAATTCAAAGATCCTGATAGTTTATCTGCCTAGAATATCTTTCTCTGCCTGAACCAACTTCCCTGACTTTCTACCCAACACACACACACACACACACACACACTCTTCAACTGTTTAGCTTTTTAGGTCCATCTGTCTAGAGGTTTTTCCAGATCCTGTAAGGCCACTTTAAATGTCCACCTAATGTTTCCATGGTACTATATCACAAGTTTGCCTATTTTCCACCAATTTATAAACTCCTTGAAAGCAGAGTCTGTCTTTTTTTTTTTTTAAAACAAGCACGTAAGGCAGCGCCGTAGCTCACTGGGTAGGGCGCCGACCACATACACTGAGGGTAGCAGGTTTAAACCTAGCCTAGGCCAGCTAAAAAACAACAATGGCAACTGCAACAACAACCAAAAAAATAGCCGGGCATTGTGGTAGGCACCTATAGTTCCAGCTATTTGGGAGGCTGAGGCAAGAGAAGAGCTTAAGCCTAAGAGTTTCAGGTTGCTGTGAGCTACGACACCACAGCACTCTACCAAGAATGACAGCTTGAGACTCTGTCTCAAAAAAAAAAAAAAAAAACCCAAGCACATAGCATTTGCAATGTACCAGGAACTTTTCTATGTACTTCATAAATACTAACTTTTTTTATTCTTCATGACATCCTTAGGAGGTAGGTCATAGGAAAGGTACTGCTATTATCCACATTTTATAGATGAGGAAATTGAGGCAATGGTATAGATAACTAACTTGCCTAAGGTCACACAATCAGGAAGTGGCAGAGATTAAATTCAAACCCAGGCGGGCTGGTTTCAGAGTTCATGCTCATAACCTCTATGTCATTTTTTGAACCACTTGTATCCCTACAACCCAGCGAAGCACCAGCAAATAGTAGCTGTTCAATAATGACTTCCTCAATAGTTAGAATTAATCCTTACTACCCTCCCCCTGAAGCATTCCTGGAGACTGAGAAAGGACATTGGGATGGGCTAACACCCCCGGAAGATCAGTTTGGCGCTCACATCTCTCACCCTTTCAAGCTGCTAAACAGGTCCTCGGTGACCTTGTGCACCTGTAGCACATCTTCCCGGATGAGGGTGATGTACAGGGAGCCCTGCAGACACAGCTTCCACAGCTTCTGGCACTGGCTGTTGGAGTTGAGGCACCCATGACACAGAAGAAACCCAACTGCAGCCAAGTAAGACAGCACAGAGGGAGACTCTTACACCTCGTTCTCCAGGTAACATGCTGCTAGATCCATTCCCACCTGCTCCCAATACACTTACTTATAATCCAGCGCTCCATCACTTCCACAGACAGATACTCACAAGCCATCTGTGAGAAGAGAGACAGAGATGATCAGATAGTTATTCACTTAGTCTTCCCCTAAGGGATAAAAGTCAGGCTGGAATCTGAATATCAACACCAACTCTAATTTTGCTAGACTGGATTAGGGCCCTCTGATAAACTAATAGCTGGGAAATCTGCCAATAATAGAGGTGAGGCACTGGAAGAAAAGTGGGGGAAAAGAATATAGGTGAGGAAAGGCAGAGGACCTTGGGCTGAAAGTTTAATATAACCTCTCTTCTTTTTTTTTTTTTTTTTTTTTGAGACAGAGCCTCAAGCTGTCCCCCTGGGTAGAGTGCCGTGGCATTACAGCTCACAGCAACCTCCAACTCCTGGGTTCAAGCGAGTCTCCTGCCTCCGCCTCCCAAGTAGCTGGGACCACAGGCATCCGCCACAACGCCCGGCTATTTTTTGGTTGCAGCCGTCATTGTTGTTTGGCGGGTCCGGGCTGGGGATTCGAACCCGCCACCTTAGGTGTACGTGGCTGGCGCCTTAGCCGGTTGAGCTATAGGTGCCAAGCCAATATAACCTCTCTTCAACTGCATGATTCTAATAACAATAAAATGAAGACAGCAAAATAAAACTTTCTCTCTCCTTTGGATTATTTTACCACCTAAAATATAAAGCATTCATTTGGTGCTTATCACTAACCTGGTATCACCAGTGGCATTTTTATGATATGGCATAAAAACCACTTTGGGCCTATAGTTGTAAAACAAAAACATTTATTAATTAATTAATTCCTAAGCTCAAATTCCTACTGGGCTAAGTAGGTGCCTAATGAGTCCCTTCATTCATTAATTCTCTGAATATTTACTAAATTTCTTCTATGAGCAGGCACTTACTAATTCTGGTCCAACTCCAGCTCAACCATGATGTTTCACCTATAAGAAGTGATCGGTTGTTTTTTTTTTAATTGATTTATTGATTGATTGCAACTCTGTTACCCATGCTGGTCTCAAATTTCTAGGGTCAAATGACCCTCCAAACTCCACCTCCCATGTAGCTGTGATTATCTAACACATTCATGACGCTTAATAAAGATGGCCTGGACAAAGGGAATGCCTCCACTAACAAAGGAAAAGAAAACTCACTGTATCTGAACTGGCAGGGTTAATCATGGCTGGGGGGTTGCTGATGAGACTCAGAAGCTGGGCACTGCGCCACTGCTCAGCCCCCTGGTTCCTTCGGACAAAGAGGAAGTGCAAAGAGAGAAGGGCTCCACTCACAGCCTGTGGGGGGAAGCAAATGAAACCTTAATGTCAATGGTGAGGACCATGTACTTCTGCCTGAGAAATTTTCCACTCTCTCAGGGAACTTGCCTTTGTGTGAGGCCCAAACTCTTCCGTCAGTTTTTTCCAAGGGTGGTCATACTCCAAGACCATCTGACCCAGACGAGCAAAACTGGAATCACTAGAAGAAAGCAAGCAGAAGAAAGAGGAGTTACAACCAGCCCTGAACTGTGACATAAACGCTTATGTTTGCAGATAGGACAAAGATGTGTGCGGAGACTGGCATTCTCTACCACCTCCAAAGATGTACTTACTAAACTGGGAAATGCTTGCACAGATACCCCACTCCAGGCCAGGTGTACTAAGTTGTGGCTAGGTAACACAATAGAATTTTGGATAGGTCCCTGAAAGTTTTTTTGCTTCTAAGCACCCAAAATAGGGTTGGACACATCATAGGTACTCAATAAGTTTATGTCAGTCATTGAACTAGAAATCAGGTAATATGCCTGGACCCAAATCTGTATACTACCCAAAAGAACATATAAATATTCAAAGCTAGTGGATAAGGCATGTGCCTAAGTATCTATGTAGACACATGGGAATACATCATGCGGAACGATATGCCACAACCCGCTCTGATCCCTATGATCTTCATTTTTCAGCCCTTAAATACTTATGTTTATACTAATGGAGTGGGACATAACTGCAGATAATCCAAAATCCATTTACATTTGGCTTCAAATGTATTATCAGACATTACTTACCCCTAATGGCATCATCTTACTAATATTATTCCTACAAATACTAAAAAGAATTTTCTTTGCCTTTTGTAATAACCAGAAAAACAGAGCAGAAGCCAGTCCAGGATTAAAAATTGATCAGAAATAGTGCAAACTGGATAATCCACTAGCAGATATGCAAGCATTAACTCCAGTTAACTCAATATATGTGGAAGATCAGTCCAAGACCGCCACATACCCCAAAACCCACATATACTCAAATCCTACAGTCGGCCCTGAGGAACCCAAATATGTGAAAAGGAGGCCCTCTGTATACACAGGTTTAACATTCTGTGAACATTTTTCACTCCATGTTTGAAAAAATTCTGCATACAAGTGGACCTGCACAGTTCAAACTAGTGCTATTCAAGGGTCAACAGTATACAGGTAAAAGTGTACCTTGCTTTACTAGGTCATCATGTAGAGGTTCTCATATGAGAAATGATGACACCTATTTCCTCTACATCCAGCCCCTGTCTCATAGAAACATGTATGAGACTGTTCATACAGCATCTCCCCTTAACTCACCCATGGCCATGCACCATCTCATGGGCACAGTTGTACATGCCAATGAGAATCCGTCGATCCTCAATCCGTGACAGAAGTAAAATAACTGAAGTGTAAGTCACAATCAAGTCCAAGTAACTCCGGGTGAAGTCAAAGTTGAGATTCTGCAAAGAAAATGTAAAGGAACTCAAGGACAGCACGGCCAATTAATTTGGATCTCCCTATTTCTCCAACCACCCCAGATGTTGCTAAATAGATTCTCAATAGGTCTACATAGAAGGAACTGTGGCTCACACCTGTAATCCTAGAACTCTGAGAAGCCAAGGTCGAAGGATCACTTGAGCTCAGGAGTTTGAAACCAGCCTGAGCAAGAGCAAGACCTTGCCTGCTAAAAATAGAAGAATTAGCCAGGTATTGTGGCAAGCACCTGTAGTCCCAGCTACCTGGGAGGCTAAGGCAAGAGGATCACTTGTCCCAGGAGTTTGAGGCTGCTGTGAGCAGGGCTGATGCCATGGCACTCTAGCCTAGGCATCATAGTGAGACTCCATTTAAAAAAAAAAAAAAAAGGTAAGAACTGACAGGCCAAGCACAGTGGCTTGCATCTGTAATCCCCGCACTTTGGGAGACCAAAGCCAGAAGATCACTTCAAGACAGGAATTCAAGACCAGCCTGGGAAAGAGTGAGACCTCATCCCTACCAAAAAAATGGAATGAAATAAGCCAGGTGTGGTGATGCACACCTGTAGTCTAACTACTTGGGAGGCTGCACCAGGAGGATCATGTGAGCCTAGTAGCTTGAGGTTATAAGTTATGTCTGAGCCACTATACTCTACCCTGGGCAACAGAACAAGACCCTGTCTCAAAATATATATATATATATAAAGAAAAGAAAAAGAAAGAAAGAAAGAAATAGAAACTGGCAGGATTGAAAATTCAAAAGAAGAAAGTTGGAAGAAAAGTCAGGGTCTGTAAAAATGAGCTCAAAAATTAGCTGGGCAACATGGTAAGTGCCTGTAGTCCCAACTATTCAGGAGGCTGAGGCAGGGCGATCACTGGAGCCCAAGAGTTTGAGGTTGCTGTAAGCTATGGTTACACCACTGCCCTTTAGCCTAGACTACAGAGTGAGACCTTTTCTCAAAAAACAAGAAAAAAAACCTCAAGATACAAGAAGGCAAAAAACAAAAAGATACAAGGAGGCAAGGAAATAAGGTAGCATCGGGAAGCTGAAAGAAATGGAGTTAAGATTGTATGTAAATTTTGTATTCATTAAAGCACATTGCTGATCTGCTTAACATGTAAGTATATTTTACTGTTAGTACTTTTTACAAAACAATTATAATCCTGAGAAGGAACAAATGCAACAGTCATTATTCCAGTTCCAGACCACCCTACACTGACCCACCTCAGCCTTTTCTTTGACTCTACAATAGAAGAGAATTGCAAAGGATCTTACGATATCAAAATGGCACTGGCAGGCATCGATGGTGTTGAGAAGTTCGTATACATGATCCTGGGGGTGAAATTGAAGATGAGAGTGAATTAAAGAAGAAAGAGGAGGTGACACATACCACCAGAACTTGAGGTCTTAGAGAGGCACCAAATGACAGAAGAAAGGCATTGTTGAAAAGAGGAGTTTCCTCCTCAGCAAGCCATCAGTAGGACCCTGTCAGGCTACACTGCCAAATGCCTGCATTTCTACGGGCAGAAGTCTCTACTATATTGTGCACGTGTCTGTGATCTCATCATCCCCATGTCCCATTCTCCACATAAAAAAGTTGGCAAAACACAAATCATCTAATACGTGGTTTCAGAAGTGCCAAAGATCAAACCCATTTTCATCAACAAACCCCAGAGTAAATCTGTTCTTGGATTCTGTCTCCAGCTCTCAGGAGTTAACCATTAACAAATGGGCTACTACCCAACATGCTATGTTTCTATTATATTTATTGACCACCCAGTATGTGTCAAGTAATTACTACGTAATTTGTATGTACTTCATTTAACCCTCATTCTCTTGGGATAGGAATTCTTTTTCTTCCTGTATGTAATTTTGTCTAATATGCAGTTTTACTGTGGACACTCCCCTGCCTGCCCCCACATCAGAACCTACCCTCCATCCTGCCCAACCCCCAGGTAAGCCAGTTTGACAAACTTAATCATCCTTTCTTATTTTTCTCCCTATTTATATAATCCTATTAGATAGAAAAGAAGAGAGAGACAGGTTTTTTAGTCAACATTTGTGTTACAAAATTAAGATAATATTACACCCTTCTTGCTTTTCTCATTCATCTTACTTGCTAAAGTCCTCAAAGTCATCTGATAGAGCACTAATGCATTCTTTTTGATAGCTGAATAACAGCTTATAGCATACCACAATTCATTCAGCCTTCACCTCTGATTCATTTTGTTCCCAGTTCCTGGCCTAATTACACATTGGTACTTCTGTCTCTACAAAAGTAAAATTGCTGGATCAAAGTATATTTTGCATATTTTTATTTTTAAAATATGTTACCAAGAGATTTGAAAAGGCATGTCACCTCAAGAATGGAAGAAAAAGTATCCAATGTACTCAGCCCTACTATGAAACCAATTTATAGCTTTCATATAAAAGCTATAACCCAATTATAGCCCAAGAATATGGGGAAAGGGGAGAAGGAAGGGAAGGGAGGGGAAGGGAGAGAATGGGTGGAGGGAGGGTAATTGGTGGGACTACACCTAGGTGCATCTTACAAGGGTACATGTGAAATTTACTAAATGTAGAATATAAATGTCTTAACATAATAACTAAGAAAATGCTGTGAAGGCTATGTTAACCAGTTTGATGAAAATATTTCAAATTATATATACAACCAACACATTGTACCCCATGACTGCATTAATGTACACAGCTATGATTTAATAAAAATAAATAATAAAAGAAAAGGCATGTCACAATAAAAAATACACAAAAAGATCCTCAATGATATTAGTCCACAAAGAAATGCAAATTAAAACTACAATAAGATACCACTATACACTCACTGGAATGGCTAAAATTTAAGTCTGATAATAACAAGTGCTAACAAGAATGTGGAGCAACTGGAACTCTCATCTATTACTGGTGGGAAGATAAAATGGAACAACTTTGAAAGAAGTTTGCCAGTTTCTTATAAAATTAAACATGCTCTTACCACATAACCCAGCAGTTCAACTTCTAGATGATTTACCAAATAAAATGAAAAAATCCCCACAAAGATTTGTACTTAAATGTTTATAGCAACTTATGTATTAATGGCCAAAATCTGAAAACAGTCCAAATGTCCATCAACAGGTAAGTAAGTAAATAAATTGTTCCTGTACAATGGAAAACTTTTTAGCAAAAAATGGGAACTGAATCACTGATGCATGTGACAACATAAATAAATCTCAAAAACATCATCTGAGTGAAAGAATTCAGACACAAACAAATACATGCTATATAGATTCCATTTATTTGAAGAAATGAAAAATTATTCTAGAAAGTAGATCAGTGGTTGCCTAAGGCTAGGAGTAAAGGGCAAGAATTGACTGTAGGGAAAAAAGACACAGGGAACTTTTGGGGTGACAGAAATTTCCTATACTTTGATTGTGGTGGATGCTACACAGGTGTATATATTTGTCAAAACATATAAAATGTGTTGAAATTTTTTTCCAATTTATCTTCCCAGAAAAACTGTGGTTAAATTAGCAGATGGGGAAACCAAAGCTAAGAGCAGATTAAAAACTTGCCCAAGATCACAGAGCTAGTCACAGAATTTGAACCCAGAGCCATGATCTTCCCTTTATGCTACATGACCTCTAGACCTCTGTTTAGGGTCTATACTGCCCCATTTGCTAGAAATGCCCTTTTACAGCTCCAGCCTGCAACACAGCTTCCACAGGATTTAGCTGAAGTTCACCTTCAGTTATGAACACAAGGTCAGATCTTATTTTCTTTTTTTTGAGACAGAGCCTCCAGCTGTCGCCCTGAGTAGAGTGCTGTGTTATCACAGCTCACAGCAACCTCCAACTCCCGGGCTCAAGCGATTCTCCTGCTTCCACCTCCCAAGTAGCTGGGACCACAGGCACCTGCCACAACACTGGGCTATTTTTTGGTTGTAGCCATCATTGTTGTTTGGTGGGCCCAGGCTAGATTGGAACCTGCCAGCTCAGGTGTATGTGGCTGGTGCCTTAGCCATTTGAGCCACAGGTGCCAAGCCAGATCTTATTTTCCAAAGACAAGAGTCAAAAGTGAACAGAAGGGAACAGAATTAACATTTGTTGCCCTATTACTTTACTATATGCTAAACACTGAGATAAATGTTTTCCATGTGTTATCTCATTTAATTCTCTCAAATACTCTTTATCAGGCTGGGCCCAGTGGCTCATACCTGTAATCCTAGCACTCTGGGAAGCCAAGGCAGGTGGATTATTTATTTAAGCTCAGGAGTTCAAGACTAACCTAAGCAAGAGGGATATCCCACCTCTAGTAAAAACAGAAAAATTAGCTGGCACCTGTAGTCCCAGCTACTACTCAAGAGGCTGAAGCAAGAGGATTGCTTGAACCCAGGAGTTTAAGGTTGCTGTGAGCTATGACACCATGGCACTCTACCCAGGGCAACAAAGTGAGATTGTCTCAAAAAATAAATAAATAAATAAATAAATAAAAAGAACTCTATAACAGTAAATCTTATTTCTTCATTTTGTAGATAAGAGAACTGGGATTCCAACAGTTCTTTGTCTAAAGTCATACAGTTTGTAAGCGGTAAAGCTGAGCTGTGAAACCAAGTTTGTCTAATTCAGTCCTACCTACTTTACAATGCACTATACTTTAGTGTCCTTATTTCCACTGTTGCCCAAACAAGCCAGACCAAACATCTTGGGCTCAGAAGTTTACAACTGCAACAACCAGCAGGTATTCTAAAATCCCCATTGGACTCTGACTTTTTCCAGTAAGAGGCTTTTCTATATGCTTCCAGCATTCTTTCCTCTATCTGCACCAGCACCTGCCTTCTTCCCAGCCACCAATCTTGATGCCAAGATTTAATACCCTCAACTGGACACTCCCTCAGACCTTACAGTTCTTCACGTCCCCACTTCTCTCTTCATCATGTGATCTAACGAATGCCCTGGATTAGCTTCGCCAGGGTAGGCACAGAACACCTACAGGGCCTATACTCTTATCCCATCCAAAAAAATATTACAATGCCAGCCCTTGGATTGCTCAGAAGAAATTTTGCATTATTCTTAAATATATAAATAATATATGTTTATTGTAGAAAAATTAGAAAATACAGATATGTTTAATTATTTTTGCTGCCACTAATAATCCCATGAGTTAGAAATTCCAATCTTCCTTATATGCATATTTAGCTATGTAAATATTCATTGTTGGGACATCTTAAACTGTATTGTAATTTACTTTTCCACATATTAACAATATGTGAAAAACATTTTTCCATGCCAATTGATATACATAACATACTAACATCTGTAACAGCTGTAGAGTATGCATTTAGGCACACATATTCTGAACTTTCAACCAAACCTCTATTTACTAGATATGTCCATGATCAAGTTGTAACTATCATAAATAATGCAACAGAATACATTCTCGTACAGAGATCTTTGCACTTATCTGATTGTTTCCTTAAGACAAATTTTTAGAAATAGAATTACTAGATTAATTTTTAAGACTTTAGAAACACATTAGCAATCTGTTTTGCAAATCATTATATTAAATATTTAACTTTTTTGTTTCTAAAAATAGTTTGTGCTCATTGTTTAAAATGTAAATATTACCCTTGTAGTATTGCTACTAAAAGCTGTTAACAATAACACAAATCTAAATTGAAGGATTTTCTGAAAAATAACTATCCTGACTCTTCAAAAACAAAGAAAAATAGAAAGAAAGAAAAACAAAGACAGGGAATTATTATTAAAGACTAAGGAGACATAACTAAATCCAAGGTATAATTCTTGAGACAACTGGAGAAATGTGAACATAAGCTATGTATTAGCCAACGATATTATAGCAATGTTATATTTCCTGAATATGATAATTATATTATGGTTGGGTAAGAAAATATTCTTGTCCTTAACAGATGTATTCTTAAATATTTTGGGGAAAAAATGTCATGATGTCTCCAACTAACTCAACTGATTCAAGAAAAAAAATAAAACAGGGACAAGAAAATGTGGCAAAATGCTGATGATTAGGAGATCCAGGAGAATTATAAAACAATATTCATTGTAGCACTCTGAAATTTTTCAGAAGATTTGTAATAAAAAATTAGGGGAAAATACTTGAAATTTTTAAAACTTAAATCATGCAAGGATGGAGAGCTTGGGCAGTGCCTGTGGCTCAAAGGAGTAGGGTGCCCAGCCCTAGCTAAAAACTACAAAAAAAAAAAAAGTATAGAAAGCTTATAGGAGTTGATCATTTCTTTTTTTTTTTTTTTTTTTGAGACAGAGCCTCAAGCTGTCCCCCTGGGTAGAGTGCCATGGCATTACAGCTCACAGTAACCTCCAACTCCTGAGCTCAAGCGAGTCTCCTGCCTCTGCCTCCCAAGTAGCTGGGACCACAGGCGCCCGCCACAACGCCCGGCTATTTTTTGGTTGCAGCCGTCATTGTTGTTTTTGGCGGGTCCGGGCTGGGGATTCGAACCCGCCACCTTAGGTGTATGTGGCTGGCGCCTTAGCCGGTTGAGCTATAGGCGCCGAGCCAGGAGTTGATCATTTCTAATCCAAAAATCCAAAATGCTCCAAAATCTGAGGCTTTTTGAGTACTAATATGACACTCAAAGGATATGCTCATTTTTGGATTGGGGATGCCCAACCATCTAATGCAAATATTCCAAAATCCAAAACACTTCTGGTCCCAAGCATTCCGGATAAGAAATACTCAACTTGTATAGAGAACCCTAAAACTCAACAACGAAAAGCAACCAAATTTAAAATAGTCAAAGGATGTAAAATAGACATTTCTACAAAGATATACAAATGGCTAATAAGCACATGAAAAAATGCTCAACATCGGGCAGTGCCTGTGACTCAAAGGAGTAGGGCACTGGCCCCATATGCCAGAGGTGGTGGGTTCAAACCCAGCCCCAGCCAACAACAACAAAAAAAAATTGCAGAAAAAATGCTCAATATCAGTAATCATTAGCTAAATGAAAATCAAAACTATAATGAGAATACTTCATACCCTTTAGGATGGCCACTATCAAAAAAAGAACAGAAAAGGGCCAAGTGTGGTGGCTCTCACCTATAAGCCTGGCACTCGGAGACCCTGAGGCAGGAAAATCTCTTGAGCTCAAGAGTTCGAGACCAGCCTGAGCAAGACTCCACCTCTACTACAAATAGAAAAATTAGCCAGGCATTGTGGTAGGTGCCTATAGTCCCAGCTACTCAGGAGGCTGAGGCAGGAGGATCTCTTAAGCCCAGGAGTTTGAGGTTGCTGTAAGCTAGGCTGGCACAATGGCACTCTAGCCTGGGTGACAGAGTAAGACTCTGTCTCAAAAAAAAAAAAAATTAGAAAACAACAATTGTCAGTGAGGATGTGGAAGAAGTATAGCCCCCTGTGTAATGTTGGTGGAAATGGTAAAATGGTACAATGTGGAAAACAGTATGGTGATTCTTCAGAAAGTTAAAAATTGAATTATATGATCCAGCAATTCCACTTCTGGTTGTATATCCAAAAGAATTGAAAGTAGGGTCCCAAAAAGATACAAACATTTGTGTATTCATGTTCATAGCAGCATCATAGCATCATTCACAATAGCTAAAATGTGGAAGCAACCCAAGTAACCATCAACATATGAGTAAATAAGCAAAATGTTGTATATCCTTACAATGAAATTTACTCAGCCTTAAAAAGGAAAGAAATTCTTCAATATGATACAACATAGATAAACCTTGAAAACATTGTGCTAAGTGAAATAAGCTAGTCACAAAAGGCAAATACTTCTTATTCTACTTACATGAGGTACTTAGAGTAGTCAAAATCACAGAAACAGAGAGTAGAATGGTGTTTGCCAGGGGCTGGCGGGCTGTAAATGGGGAGTTACTATTTAAAGGGTAAAGAGTTTTAGTTTTACAAGATGAAAACTGGTTGCACATTATGAATTTATTTAGTACACTGGACTGTACACTTAAAAAATAGTTAAGGAGGCTTGGCACCTATAGCTCAAGTGGCTAGGGCTCCAGCAACATACAGCAGAGCTGGCGGGTTCAAATCCAGCCCGGGGGCCCACCAAACATCGACAACTACAACCAAAAAATAGCTGGGCATTGTGGCGGGCACCTGTGGTCTCAGCTACTTGGGAGGCTGAGGCAAGAGAATCATTTAAGCCCAAGAGTATGTGGTTGCCATGAGCTGTGATGCCACAGCACTTTACCCAAGGTGATAGCTTGAGACTCTGTCTCAAAAAAATAATAATAATTAAGTATAGCTTAGTAAATTAAAGCCAATCATAATCCATCTCCAAAGATAGTTATTTCTAACAGTTTAATGTATAATATTCCAAATATTTCCCACATATATACTAACACTGTATACATACAAGCTTATATACCTTTTAAAATAAAAATATGATGTGTCATATACTATTCCATAATTTGCTTTCATCCAATAATACAATTGGATAACTTCCATATCAATACATCTCATTTTTTTCAAGAATCTATATTAAGCAACAGAAACAAACATCTGCTAAAGGCCATGCCTACACTGGGGACCTAGGTTAGGGAAAGCTTACCCGAAATTCCATGACATCCACAAATGACTGGTAGTAGTTGGTGAGGAATCGAATTATTTCCGTTTTTTCACGATGTACTGGTCCTAAGTGTTGCTGAAAGAAATACAAAACAGGCTCGGCGCCTATAGCTCAACC